AATCATATGACTATAGCTGGGGGTTACTGTGATGGGCCTGCCTTTGTTGATGATATGATTAGAATGAATATTGATCCAAACCCTGATCTCTCAACACACTGGAGTGACTGTCCTGTTAAACTACCTGATAAGTTGAAATACCACAGCAGTGTGCTGTATAATGATGAGTTGATAGTCTCTGGAGGTCATAATAGAAATGGTTCATCTGACGTGATCAAAGCAGTCCAGCTTGTTCCTCCCTATACTGTGAAGACCTTATCAAGAATGCCAGAACCAAGACAACTTCACAGCATGGAAATATTTGATGATAATTTGTTGATAGTTGGTGGAAGAACAATTGATCATTATAAAGACAACCTCAGCAGTGTCGTACTGTATGATATAAAGAAGAATGAGCTGAAACAGTTGTCACCACTGCCGTATGAAGTGAGTGATATGGCAACTGTGAGATGGGGAGACAACATTGTTGTTATTGGTGGTGTTGACAAACATTGCAAGAGATTAGATACAGTTATCATTTACAATGTCAAGACAGGACAAAGTCACATGCTGCCATCAATGAGATGTAAGAGGAGGGGATGTACTGCAGTTGTTATTGAAAACAGCATTCTAGTCCTTGGAGGGTCCAATGAGCGACATCAATCTGTGAAGTCAGTTGAAGGTTTCAACTTTGAAAGGTATTCTTGGGAAGAACTTCCAGAAATGTCTGAAGCAAGATTGTGGCACACTGCTGTTGTTGTGTGAACAATATGTAAGGTATTAAGTGAAAACTTCTAACATATTATGAACAATTGAAATGAACTATAAGATTTTCACAAAGTTATAGAAATAGATTGTAGCATTCTAAGTTGATTGTCAGACATATATACTGATTTGTATTTTTTTGATTGAATTTAAATTCAGTCAGTTCTGAGATTTATATATTAAAGAGCAATGACAAATGTGTGAAATAGATATTTCCATTCAGGAAAGTTTAAAATGAAACATCAAATAAAATAATTCAAACAATAGATAGGTGCATGAGTGAAAAAATTGATTAAATATTGACCATGTTGGATCAGAGTTATTAGTTTCTATTCACTGCAGTTTGGATTTAAAAAATTCAACTTTCCTAGAAGGATAAATATTTCTGAGAGGAGACATAAAATGAAAGGGTAAACTTACGATGTTTCAGAGCATGTGATGCAGGGAATATTTCTGATGTTAGATTTCAACATTGATAATGGCGCTTGTTCATCTCTTCCATGATGTTTCCTCAAGTAACAATGAAGATTGTGGATTCACACTTTAGTTAAGTTTCCTCCTGTAGTAACACTGGATCAATAAGAGATGATCCTTACTGGACCTCTAGGAAGAACATTTTAGAACTGATAGAGCTATAGGAGCAATTAAATATGCAAACATTTATTATAAAAACAAGATTATAAAGGAGTTACATCTCAAAGCATTGAAAATTTTATACGTGTTACATCTTAAGCAGGTTATATGAGAACATTAACACCAGAATATATATATTGTTAGTACAAACATTGAACAGAGTCAGACAGATAACGTAAGGTTAAAAATCGCGTATTGCCTTAAATCCTAACTAAACTGTGTAAATATTTTCCAAAGTCAAATCATCGTTCTTCGCCCATTAATGGCTGCTTTGAGGAGTCTCCGTGCGATCCTAAAAAATGGAGACGATATGATTAGATTTGCCATGAAATAATTTGCCTAATGTTCGGTTAGTGAGACCAGTAAAAGTCTCTGAACTTTGTGATCACGTGAATGACATACCTCCATCATGCGGAAAGGACGTGTTTATTTTATCCATGACGTCACGTAGCTCCGGGTCTTGTATACCTCGAGAACCTGTGACCAGCGGTTTTCTTTCACCATCGTTGTCACTATCGCTTGCCGTGGCGTCACCATGGTAACCAGGTTTCTTGACTGAACCAGATGAGGACGCTGGAGTCATTCGCGATCCTGATCTTTCAGACGGCTGGGAATAAAGTTTAGAATTCATAGAGTTATCCAGTATAAATAAAGTTAGTTTAGTTTAGGTTTCCTCCTGTAGTAACACTGGATCAATAAGAGATGATCCTTACTGGACCTCTAGGAAGAACAGTTTAGAACTGATAGAGCTATCCAGTATAAATAAAGTTAGTTTAGTTTAGTTTCCTCCTGCAGTAACACTGGATCAATAAGAGATGATCCTTACTGGACCTCTAGGAAGAACAGTTTAGAGCTGATAGAGCTATCCAGTATAAATAAAGTTAGTTTAGTTAGGTTTCTTCCTTTAGTAACACTGGATCACTAGGAGATGATCCTTACTGGACCTCTAGGAAGAACAGTTTAGAACTGATAGAGCTATCCAGTATAAATAAAGTTAGTTTAGTTTAGGTTTCCTCCTGTAGTAACACTGGATCAGTAAGAGATGATCCTTACTGGACCTCTAGGAAGAAAAATCAACATTTACCTGTTCAAGCAATTGTTTCAGCTTCGTCAACTGTTGTTGCAATTGGCGATTGTGATCCTCCAACACTTTGACACGCGATTCATGACGTGATCTGTGCTGACGTAGCAACTTGATCTCGTTCATGACGTCATTCTCACGATCTTGTCCCGAGTGAGGATCGTCGCGACTCGTCGTCAACGATTTTAACTGGCTGAGTTCTTCCATTAGGGTTCTATGAGAAAATTAAAAACATTTAGAAAAGTTCACGTTAATTTTCTTAGCGATTATCACAGCACGGTTTATTTAGAGGCAGGAAAACAGCCTTTCTGTTAAATAGGGACTTTTCGGGCACATGAAATAGTTTCTTTCATACTTGTTTTCATCTTGAAGATCAGTGATCGTCTTGTCCAAATCTTCTTTCTCTTCCTGGGCCAATTCCATCAGAATTTGGGTCGGGCTTCGCGGCTGCTAAATTAAGAATACATAACGATTAACTCATTAACTGACAGTACTCTTCCACTGATGAGTAAAATCATCTGACATTAGACAGAGTAAAATACTAAAGTAGGTCACATCTGGGTGCATTGCAAGCTAATGGGTTAACAAGAGACATTGACAGATAGTTTTGTTAACTTATTAACTGACAGTATTCTTCCACTGATGAGTAAAATCATCTGACATTAGACAGAGTAAAATACTAAAGTAGGTTACATCTGGGTGCATTGCAAGCTAATGCATTAACAAGAGACACTGACAGATAGTTTTGTTAACTTATTAACTGACAGTATTCTTCCACTGATGAGTAAAATCATCTGGCATTAGACAGAGTAAAATACTAAAGTAGGTCACATCTGGGTGCATTGCAAGCTAATGGTTAACAAGAGACACTGACAGATAGTTCTGTTAACTTATTAACTGACAGTACTCTTCCACTGATGAGTAAAATCATCTGACATTAGACAGAGTAAAATACTAAAGTAGGTCACATTTGGCTACTGCCATTAAAAATATATACAGCCTATTTGAAACAGCGTAGTATATATCTTTTAATAGCATTCTCAGTTAAACAAAATCTGATATAAAATGCGCGGGAAATCTAGACTTTATGTACAGTAAAATATATAAATGTAGACGAATTTTGTACAAAATAAATGCCAAATTTCTCGATCAAAACTTACATTAGCAGGAGTTCCTGGCTCGAGGCTATAAAAAACATACAAATGAAATATTAGCGATAGAATACAATTTAGTAAAAGTGCTTTTTCGGACAGGATAACCTAATATAGAAATTTGCAATAGGTTCTCACTTGCGGTTGGGTTAAGACATACAATATAATTGGCTGCATTTGGTGAATTATTATGTATAACAATGCTTGTTCGTTGCATGACAGCAGAACTAAATCAACAGGCTAGGATTTTAACTTCATGCAGAGTTAGTATGGGTTTATCATTTTTTAATGTTGAATTTTGATATCAAATTTAATACATATATCTATGTTTTTGAAAGGAGAGCTTTGTGGAATGATCTTTAGTGCACTTTTAGGAAGAACAGTTTAGAACTGATAGAGCTATCCAGTATAAATAAAGTTAGTTTAGTTTAGGTTTCCTCCTGTAGTAACACTGGATCAATAAGAGATGATCCTTATTGGACCTCTAGGAAGAACAGTTTAGAACTGATAGAGCTATCCAGTATAAATAAAGTTAGTTTAGTTTAGGTTTCCTCCTGTAGTAACACTGGATCAATAAGAGATGATCCTTACTGGACCTCTAGGAAGAACAGTTTAGAACTGATAGAGCTATCCAGCATAAATACAATAAACTTAGTTTTTATTTCATCAGATAATATATTATCAAGTACTATAATTTGATGATTATAGGGTAGGTTTTAACATACAATTATTTATTTAAATTTTACGTTTATTTAGGAGACAAACACACCTCTTACAATACCGCGCGATAATTTTATGCTCATCAAAATCATCGTTGCTGCCTTTACTGAAAGTTAAACGGAATCACATTTAAGTTAGAGTACCATTAATGTAGAAACATTTTAGATCTTACGTTTCGAAGAAATAATAATCTTATAGTTAGTATATTAACTGTATTTTAATTGAAATAGTATATAACAACAAATTTAGTCAAATCTAGACAAAGAAATGGAGTTATATGTCAGCAATATTAATTCAATGCGATTAATTTAGGTCGTTTTTTAACACCGAATGGTTCAAGGTTAATCTTGGGAGTGCACATTTTCAGAAATGCCCGAAGTGTTGGCGACAATTTCCGATACCTGGGCTGTTTCCTATGTACATTTGGGGGTATTTTCTACATCCCTACATATCCCTACCTCTTTCCTTTCTTTTGAGGTGTCTTGAAACTCCCACTGCCTTCCAAATCAGCGAGTCTGAAAGAGATTTAAAAATACTCTTATTCACAGAGATCACTATATGTTTTGAAACGAGAAAGCTATTATAGATATCAGTGCAACTGGAGCGCTCTTATACCAAAGATCCCGACCGGTACCCCCACGTGGGATTAATGTCGTCATTCTTTACAATACCTGTTAGCAAACATGCCCAACTTGTTATGCATGTCCTGATTATGACTTGGGGGTGGTGACTGAGGCGTTTCCAGGTTCGTTCCCTCCATTACTGTCTGTACTGGAAGATATCCAAGATGTTTTGGCGGTTTATTCTTGTATTTCCGTGGCTTCACCTTGTTCTTTACGACTTTGAAAAAGTCCTTCACATCCTCCGGGCCAGTTGTCTAAAAACACATCGAAAATAACAATGAAAAATGCCTTTAACAAGATCTGAGGATTCTTGAAAGAAAATCCTACTGAATTGTTTTCAAGAGCCCAAAATTGAAACTGATTTACTGTACTTTCGACCAAAGACAAAGATAATATTTTCTGTTATATATTCGCTGCTTGATACTTGGGTTAAAATATTTCGTGAAAGTTTTATATCTTTGGCAAATTACATACTATTTCATACATTTATCAACATTTCATACATTTATCAACTATATATATTTCATACATTTTCCCCCTTCAAATTCAAGTTTTTAAATAACAGCAAAAGTGCCTGACTTTTCACACAAGCTTATAGAAACTTGAAGACGTTTTTAAACATTCCCAAACACACACGGTAGATTTATCGGATAGGATAGACGATATATTGATGAAGGCAAGTATTTCTTACCGAAAGGCAGTACTGATGCATTGGATGTGTCACGTAGTGGTTACGAGAGGTTCGACCGGAGAAGAAACAGCTTTGGCAGACATCATAGTTGAAGCATTTCAAACATCTGAAGCGTAGTCCAACTATTGGGTATTCCTTACAGATCTGGCATTTCGATTCGTGTTTAACACTTTCAGCGCTCGCGAGGCGATGAAGAGTTGGGATCCATATGACGCTCTGAGGCTCCTTTTCAAGCCAGTCCAAGAATTGTTGACAAGTTATTGAGTCGGGTTTCTTTGCCTAGAAATGAAATGAACACATGATTTTTTCCTGTAGTAACACTAGATCAATAAGAGCTGATCCTTACTGGACCTCTAGGAAGAACAGTTTAGAACTGATAGAGTTATCCAGTATAAATAAAGTTAGTTTTAGTTAGGTTTCCTCCTGTAGTAACACTGGATCAATAAGAGATGATCCTTACTGGATCTCTAGGAAGAACAGTTTAGGTAAAATTTCATGCTTGCTAAAACTTACTCGTTCAAAACAGCTTCGCACACTTGGTTCGATATTGCTGCCACCGAAGGCTGCCGCTTCGCCCAGTTGTTTTGGGATCTAAACGGATATCGATAATTTTTTTAGCCAATACAGTATATAGAATATGAATTAAAAAATAACGCTGAATTATACTATATCTATAGACTTGACTGGTGATAAATGGAACAAGAAAAAGACACATGCCTGAAGTTGGTCATGTAGTAACAGCCCGAGTTTCTTTGGGGAGACATGGTTGGATGAATCAGACACGAGAGAGAATAGATCTGAAAGAAAATTTTAACAATGTCAATTTTAGTTTGAGGGCGACATAGTAAATCTTAATGGGTTCAAGGTGAGATATTTACATCTGTATTTCTCGTCCAAGGGTCCTTGGGACATGCTGATCAAGCCAACTTTGAAGGAGAGTTCACGGATCTTCCCAATACGACCACTAAAAATATTGTATTAGAGAGACGTCTGTATTAGAGAGAGATGTTTGTATTAGAGAGACTTCTGTATTAGAGAGATGTCTGTATTAGAGAGACGTCTGTATTAGAGAGATGACTGTATTAGAGAGGTATCTGCATTAGAGAGATGTCTGTATTAGAGAGATGTCTGTATTAGAGAGATGTCTGTATTAAAGAGGTGTCTGTATTAGAGAGATGTCTGCATTAGAGAGATGTCTGCATTAGAGAGATGTCTGTATTATAGAGATGTCTGTATTAGAGAGATGTCTGTATTAGAGAGATGTCTGTATTAGAGAGATGTCTGTATTAGAGAGATGTCTGTATTAGAGAGAGGCCTGTATTAGAGAGATGTCTGTATTAGAGAGATGTCTGTATTAGAGAGATGTCTGTATTAAAGAGATGTCTGTATTAAAGAGATGTCTGTGTTAGAGAGATGTCTATATCAGAAAGGTGTCCGATTGACCGCGATGTAATTACCTGTCATAAACATTCAACAGCCAGTTAAGACTGAGATCAATGGACAACGGAATATCAATAGCTTCCTTCTCTTTCATATCCAGTTTATCGAAGATGAAAGTCAACACTTTGACCATCTCGGAAACACCAATAATATCCTCATGAGATCCGTGCATATTATGACGTTCTAATGCTTCAACTACAACGTTCTTCTCTACCATATCCACTGAAAAAAAAAACAAGACAATGAGTTTTGAAGGAAAAAGATCCGAAAGAAATGAACTGAACTTCCAGCGCTAAATAAACACTATATTCTGATAAGTTTAGTTAGGAAATGAATACGGCGTAACTTACGGCCAGCGGCTTTCTGGATACATCTGAGTTTCATAGCTGTTCTATAAGCGCTCCATCTAATATCATTCAACTCCGCTAAACAATCAAAACAAGATTATTATTATCAACGTTTTAATCGTACAAGCCATTAGCAATTCGTATCTGGTTGGGTCTAATGATTCACGATGATAAACGATCAGGAACGTAGCTAGAAGCTTAATTGGGGGGGGGGGGTGTATATTCATATATTCGTCCTATGCCCGACTGATTTCTTTTGTACGCTATTGTTCCTACGGAAGATAAACGTGATTATATGAATATACACCCCCCAATTAAGCGGTCTAGCTAAGCGGTCTAGCCACGGCCCTGTAAACGATGAGGCATTGATATGGATGGACTTTTCTTTGCGAAATATCGATTGAAAAGCGTTTTAATTTACAGAGATTGTTCGTATCAGGTCTGGGTGGATGTTATCGAAGTCATATTGTATATTGTGGAGACGTATACTTACTTAATTGATGGAAAAGATCCGTCATTTTAGGATGATCCCATTGGGTCGTTTCCGTTTTGTGGCTGGTAAATACAAATACACAGATATACACAAATATTTCGGTAAACGCAAATAAACACAAATATAAACACATAAACAAATTGCGAAACTGAGAAACGTTGCCCTAGGGCTGGTTTTTCCAAAGGCGTTTTGCTTGAACGGTGGATAAGCCAAAGTTGAAAAATACTCTCATAGATCTTGTGAATTACTGAACCTGCTTCTTATGCATTCAATATGTACTTTTATTGAAAATTAAACTATTTACATCGAAATATTTCAGCTCAGTTGTTCAATAAATAGATAATTTTGTTTTCCATTTTTGAACTTATCCACCGTTGAAGCTCAACGCTTTTCGAACAACCAGCCCCTGGTTTCAAATTATGAGGTTGTTGAAGCCGTTCATTAAACATTTTCTCATGGGAAACTTATTTTATTATAGTGTTGAAATATATTCTTAATGTTCTCTACAAACTTACTTGATATAATAGGGGACCTTGTTTGCAGATATGGCTCTTTCCCAAGGACGAACGACACTCGCTGTTGAAGAAATGAAGGATAAAATATGGAAAACAATCCCTAGGACTATTGTGTTAAAACGTGTTGGGGTGCGAGACACTGTGAGATAGTTCTATTAACCTAGACAGTGGAAGACAGCGAGATACAGCGAAGTAAAACACAGAGCATAACAGTACAACATACTACATTGCAGTACATTACAGTACATCAAAGTACATCGTAGTACATAACAGTACATGGCAGTATTTCACGGTACATCGCTATACACAACATTACATCACAATACAACACAGTACATCGAAGTAAATTACAGTACATCAAAGTACATCGTAGTACATAACAGTACATGGCAGTATCTCACGGTACATCGCTATACACAACATTACATCACAATACAACACAGTACATCGAAGTAAATTACAGTACATCAAAGTACATGGTAGTAAATAACAGTACATAACACGGTATTTCACGGTACATCGCTGTACACCACAGTACATCACGGTACATCACAGTACATCACGGTACATTACACTACATTGCAGTACATCGCAGTATACATCTCTGCACGACAGTACATCACAGTACGTCGCTGTACACCACAGTACATCACGGTACATCACAGTACCACAAAGTTCAACACATTCCCTCACAGCACATCACAGCACATCACAGTACATTAAAGTACATCATAGTACAACAAAGTACACCACAATACAACACTGTCAACGCAAATTTTCGCAATGATTACCTTGCAGAGGTTCTTGTGTGATGTTCATATCATATTCAGTGATATTTTCTTGGATCGTGTTTTCTCGATTCAACATCTTCATTTGAAGTTCCTTCCAGCGTCTGTGCAGATCATCAAGACGATTTTGCCAGGGCGACGGTAGAATCACATTGCACCGTCGCAAGTTATTCTCCACGCCATCTACATCATCAAACATGCCTTGTAACGGGGAAACGATCGCGTGGAAACGCTAGAAAATACAAGAGAGAATGGTTACATTCGATAGAGCTATACAGTATGAGTAAAGTTAGTTTAGTTTAGGTTTCCTCCCGTAGTAACACTGGATCAATAAGAAATGATCCTTACTGGACCTCTAGGAAGAACAGTTTAGAACTGATAGAGTTATCCAGTATAAATAAAGTTAGTTTAGTTTAGGTTTCCTCCTGTAGTAACACTGGATGAATAAGAGATGATCCTTACTGGACCTCTAGGAAGAACAGTTTAGAACTGATAGAGCTATCCAGTATAAATAAAGTTAGTTTAGTTTAGGTTTCCTCCTGTAGTAACACTGGATGAATAAGAGATGATCCTTACTGGACCTCTAGGAAGAACAGTTTAGAACTGATAGAGCTATAATTCAAAATGTAGTACCTTCATATTATCAGACTGGTCCTGAACAACCTCGATCGTAACAGGTTTCCATTGATTGCTGTAATTCTCAGCTTCCTGGAGTTTTCCATCAAGATCTCGCATGTTCTTCTCGAGAAGATTAAGCAACTGAAAGGTTGGATTTAGAGAAAATGAACATAAGACTTCATCAAAAGCGACTTAGACGGGTTAGAAAATCACCCCACGAAAACCAAACAAGGTTTACTATTGATGCTCAATTCTCAAATTATTTAGTGTTTTATACCCGTAAAGCTTCGTCCAATGTCTTCTGCCAAGCGTCGCTGCTCTTGGCAAGTTTTGGCCAGCGGTCTCTGATTGCACTGAGTTGAACGCGAAGGTTGTCAGCAAGATGAGCCCGCGATGGTGAGGCTGGGTGTGCTGTGTCGTGAGTCTCTAAATGACGTTTTCCTGACTCCAAAGCGCGGTCGATGACCAAACGTTGCATGTTCATCTTGTTCTTGAATGCCTTAGTGGATCAACGGTAGGATTTAGTCCATATACAGTATATACAGTACATCTGCCTTTCTAATACAGACATCTTTCTAATACAGACATCTCTAATATAGACATCTCTCTAATACAGACATCCCTCTAATACAGACATCTCTCTAATACAGACATCTCTCTAATACAGACATCTCTCTAATACAGACATCTCTCTAATACAGACATCTCTCTAATACAGACATCTCTCTAATACAGACATCTCTCTAATACAGACATCTCTCTAATACAGACACCTCTCTAATACAGACATCTCTCTAATACAGACACCTCTCTAATACAGACACCTCTCTAATGAAACAAACTTCAATCTTAAAGCGTCTAACCTGGTGAGCATCATTCTGTACATTAACAGTCTCAAGATCATTCCCAACTGGTTTCTGAGCCTCCAGCTGCTGTATCGCTCGTTCAATCCAGTCAACAATCTCTTGTAAGTCCAAGAACAATTGGCGCCATTCTGTCGCCCCGCCATCCAGTTTATCACCAACATCAACTGACCGCGCATTCAAGCTATTCCAACGATCGTTCATATCATCCAGTTTAGATTGCAGTGCAGTGAGCACCTCGCCTGGGGCGAGATCGGCCATAACCACGTGACCATTTTCATTCAGAGAGGCGAATGTCTCTTGATGTGAATTAATATCACCTTCCAGGGCCTAGAATTGATTGCAGAATAGAATATATTTTACCTAGAGCGGGAATAGAGTGTAATTTACCGCAGAAATTGGTGTTTATGAAGTTTCAAGCCGGAAATCTAATCACTGGTTCGCAATTGTGCATTTCTGTATCGCTATCAAAGAGAAAACTATTGAATAACTTTAAAAAGTTCAATTTTTCTTCTGAATACGCATTCTGCAATGTTTTGACAGCTCATCATACACATCTGACAGCTGTGAAATGGCCATTTTGAGGCTTAAAGTATACACAAGTTTTTACCGTGAGCAAGCTTCAAATCTTTTGTGCAAGACATATTTTGTTGAGTGTTTATAAATCTTTTTCCTCACCAAGTTTGAGGGCGAGAAGTATTGAGAATTGCGGCCGAAGTCTTATCAATTTAGTCACAAAAGCCTTATCAATTTAGTTCAAAAGTAGTCACAAAATTTATTCTCTCATGTGGCCCTCTAAGTTTACATTGGAAACTTGATAATATACTGGAGTATATAGCATCAAATGTGGTATAACAACTGCCTAAATGATGCTAAGTTGTTTGAAGACGCTGCCACGCTGCTCCCTGGTTGTAGTAGTAGAGTATATAGTTAAATTTGAAGGGTTTATTCATAATTATCTCTAGAGACATCATGGATCTACAAGAGTACCTTCAATTCGTCCTTTAGCGAGCTCAGATCTGGTTGTTCTTCTGTAGCGGCCGCATCTACGGCGCTGTCCAGCTCAGCGATTTTAGACTCAGCTGAAGTGAGCCACGTCAGAGCTGATATCATGTTTTCATGGAATTGTACCAGACGAGTCAGCATTTCTTGTAATTTATCCTTTCGCTCATCACAACTGAAATAAAACAGTTATGTTCGTGGTTAATGGTACAGCAGAATTTACAGCAATTGAGATTATCTTTGGTTCCCAGCCACTACAAATGTAGTTATACTAGAAATCTCTGAACGCTTAAACCTTTAACCTGCTCTCTATCTAAGACCCTGAATTTATGAACGCTGTCTTAGACTGGAAATTCAAAGTTTTCTATACAATTGTAATCAACATTGGTCGGTTAGGGTGAATCAATTATGATTTTGGCACTTCACTCGATGTAGGTAAGTTCTAGAGGTTTTAAGGGTCTTAATTTCGAGTGGAATTATACACACTTCAAATTCAAGCCAGGAAAAGTTGATGGAAAAATGAGTCAACTATCGGTCCTCCGGCAGGAATCGAGCCTACGCTTTTGCGATGCCGGTGCAATGCTCTTGCTACTCGGTTACTAAACCAACACTGATGGTCAAATGCACGTCTTGCTGTAGGGAACTTACCGTGAAGAAAGCTTGTTATAGCGTTGAGTATCACGATGTGAGGTTAACCTGATGTCGCTTGGATTATGCTCAGGGAATTCTCGTATCAATTCTTCTCCAAGATCGTTCAATCTATCCACTCGAGGACGCCAGCTTTCCACCTCCTCACGGAAGCTCTGGGGAATACAAAAGAGAACTCCGTTTATACTGGATAGCTCTATCACTTCTAAACTGTTCTTCCTAGAGGTCCAGTAAGGATCATCTCTTATTGATCCAGTGTTACTACGGGAGGAAACCTAAACTAATTAACTTTATTTATACTGGATAACTCTATCAGTTCTAAACTGTTCTTCCTAGAGGTCCAGTAAGGATAATCTCTTATTGATCCAGTGTTAATACAGGAGGAAACCAAATCACCTTATGTTCCTGGAGAAGATCTTCAAGTTCAGCGACAGTATTTCCAGTGGTTCGTTCTGCGTTATTCAACCTCTCCTCAGCTTTAGCAAGCCATGCTTCTAGCTCGTTCTTAATCTGTTCATATTGCCTCCAAAGATCCCGCATCAAATTAATCCTGTTCAACCAGTCGTTTGACTGTTGCTGGACGTTATGCCAGTGTTCCTTGAGGGACTGGATCTGGTGACGTAATATGTTTTTATGCGACTCGTTCTCAGTCTCTTCCTCCAGTTTGAAGCTCATCTCCGAGATATCATTGAGAAGATATTGTTTTCCACGAAGTTCATCCTCGACAGACTTAAGAAACAGAACATATTATAACATAACATTTATAGTACGCGCGTGCTGATTGGTCGAGAAGCGTGTTTCTATAACTGTATAAAAACGCGGGAATTTTTCCCGCCGAAATTGACAAGCGAAGTAATGTAATGAGAATTTGTAACTGCATCGAATTATAATATTTGTACAAAATCTTTTTATATTATAAAAGGAATAGAAAAAATTTTCCCCGTGTTTCTATACAGTTACAACATTAGCCTAACATTTGAATAATTTTGTCGAATATTTTCGGTTTGGTAAGCAAAGTATTAGCGTTTATATATTATTGTCAACAAACTTATAATCAACCCATAACAGTTACTTAAACAAATAATTACTTATCAACATATTATAATGCACCTGTTTTTGCTTGTTCGTTAGTCTCTGCATTTCATCAACATTTCCCAACATAATTCTTTGATTTTTGATAACATCTTCAACCAGAGACAGCCAGTCGTGCAATTCAGAAACTGCCTTGTCAAATTTAGGCCATGGTGTCGTTTTCTCGTCTGTAAGAAAGCAAAGTTAACAAAACTATCTGTCAGTGTCTCTTGTTAACCCATTAGCTTGCAATGCACCCAGATGTGACCTACTTTAGTATTTTACTCTGTCTAATCCAGATGATTTTACTCATCAGTGGAAGAGTTCTGTCAGTTAATAAGTTAACAAAACTATCTGTCAGTGTCTCTTGTTAACCCATTAGCTTGCAATGCACCAAGATGTGACCTACTTTAGTATTTTACTCTGTCTAATGTCAGATGATTTTACTCATCAGTGGAAGAATACTGTCAGTTAATAAGTTAACAAAACTATCTGTCAGTGTCTCTTGTTAACCCATTAGCTTGCAATGCACCCAGATGTGACCTACTTTAGTATTTTACTCTGTCTAATGTCAGATGATTTTACTCATCAGTGGAAGAGTTAACAAAACGATCTATCACTATTTGTAGGCAAAGCAATCACATTAAAATCTCCGTACCGTCATCGGCTTGTGTGATTAATATATCTGGCGTGGAGCAGACAGCTTGTACTCCAGAAATGTTTATAGGCTGTTCAATAATCATCCTAGGTTGATCAATGTATCGAGATATCGTTCCCCAGTCGGCGTTCATCTTTCTCCATTTCTCATGCGTGTTGCTTGGAATGGCGGTTGTAGAAAGAATGCTTTCTTCTTGATATCGTTCGTAAGTATTATTCACTTGATCGTAAACTGGTCGCCTTGAGCTAAGATTTCGTTTAATATCCTGAAAAAACAATACATTTATGTTGTTTATCGTATTGCAAAGCGATTGGACTAAAGAAATCTATAAATATTACTAGTTTTCTTTTTAAAATCTCAATTCAAACGGCCGTTAATCACCCAAAGAGACCGCTCAAAGTTTTGGCGGGAAAATATTTATTTCAAGTTTTCCTGTGCAAAACTCAAAAATATTTTGTTTTTTATAAATTTGTAGCCAAAAACATTTCATAGCCAACAATTTTTATCTATTTTCCTTCATTGTTCTTGGAAGAATTGCCGTTTATCGGTTCGGGGAAGATGAAAGACTTTTGTAAACAAAATCCTTCGTCTACTTTTGTGTTTACCTCGAGGTTATCGTCCGGAGTTTTGCCAAGGCTGGTCTGGGTGTCGAGGAGGTCTCTCGAGGTTGACGTCCAGATGTAAAGTTCCTCGAGGTTCTCCAAGAACTTCTTTAGATCAGCGAGTTTATCGTCAATACTTTTCCGTCTTCTGGGGACGGCGAGTTTAATGCGTTGCCAGTGAGATTCAACAGCTTCCATCCGTCGTTTGACATCCTCTTGTGAGGGTTTCGATAGGATTGGCTTCGTTTGAAGACGTTGCCCTGTCTTACGAATTGAACGAACTGTTTCTTCCTTACCAATCATTTCATCCTCAAGATCCTGAAAAAGATTGAGGCGGTTTCTAAAGTCGAGTCTCGACTAACTTTATTTATACTGGATAGCTCTATCGGTTCTAAACTGTTCGTCCTAGAGGTCCAGTAAGGATCATCTCTTATTGATCCAGTGTTACTACAGGAGAAAACCTAAACTAAACTAACTTTATTTATACTTGATAGTTCTATCAGTTCTAAACTGTTCTTCCTAGAGGTCCAGTAAGGATCATCTCTTATTGATCCAGTGTTACTACAGGAGAAAACCTAAACGAAACTAACTTTATTTATACTTGATAGTTCTATCAGTTCAAACTGTTCTTCCTAGAGGTCCAGTAAGGATCATCTCTTATTGATCCAGTGTTACTACAGGAGGAAACCTAAACTAAACTAACTTTATTTATACTGGATAGCTCTATCAGTTCTAAACTGTTCTTCCTAGAGGTCCAGTAAGGATCATCTCTTATTGATCCAGTGTTACTACAGGAGAAAACCTAAACTAAACTAACTTTATTTATACTTGATAGTTCTATCAGTTCTAAACTGTTCTTCCTAGAGGTCCAGTAAGGATCATCTCTTATTGATCCAGTGTTACTACAGGAGAAAACCTAAACGAAACTAACTTTATTTATACTTGATAGTTCTATCAGTTCTAAACTGTTCTTCCTAGAGGTCCAGTAAGGATCATCTCTTATTGATCCAGTGTTACTACAGGAGGAAACCTAAACTAAACTAACTTTATTTATACTGGATAACTCTATCAGTTCAAACCTTGACTTTCTCTAGTTGATGTTTCAAACCATCTTCATCAGCAGGTGATGGATCTCGTTGAGCTAAGGTCACCTCAACCTCGTTCATCCATTGGGTCAAATCTCGACACTCGTCAGCAAACTCCTCGTACTCCATATCTTCCTCGTGGAACCTGAAATACGAATTTAAAACAAAATTTAAGAACTTGTTTTTAAAGACATGTTATCACTGAATGTCCCCAGCCTGTTGAGAAGTTATTAATGGCATTTTTAAACTAGCTTCAAGTTCTCGACTCGGGCCGGTTGCATCAAGCCCGTTTAGCTTAAACGGTGAATAAGTCAAAATGAAATAACACTCTTACATCTCTCTTGAATGAGTCAACTTGAATATTATGCACTGAATATGTAGTTGTAAACAGTATCTTTGTATTAAGGTTAAAAACATTTAGTTCGCTTGTTGAATAAAACGATAGACTCGCTTTTTATTTTCAACTTATCCACCGTTTAAACTAAACAGGCTTGATACAACCGGCCCCAGATGTGCTAAACGTTTTCCCAAAAACTTGATACGGTTCCAAAAAGCCACCAATTTGTCAACAAATTGAAAATGAGTAAAATGACATCTTTGATAAGATGAAAAAATAGTTTCAACTAGCTGAGAGCTTCCTGCAAGTCTTTTGGGAGACATATTGAATCTCAGGAAACGTTGGTGATAAAAATATTATTCTGGATATAATCTCATTTCATTTTTTACCGTTCTCTGCGATCAGCGACTTCAGTACAGATTATCTTCCATCGTCTGTTCAACGCATCGAGTTTGTCTCTGAGTATTTCCGCTTCTACGACACTTGAGTTTTTGATAATTTCATCACCAGTTGTATTAACAGCTGTTACAGTGCTCTGGTGATCTGCTATGGCTTGTTCTAACGGCTGCAAGAAAGAAAACAAATTATATTTAAAAAGCCGCGAGGTATTAAGTTGAGAATGAAAAATTTATAATCGGATTTATTCGGATTTATTTGTATTTTTGGCTCGCGTGAAGGGGCAACCAGTGTAAAAACATGTTTGCGTTTTGGGATTGCTGTCAGTTAAATAAGATTGATGGGAGATGATCCTTACTGGACCTCTAGGAAGAACAGTTTAGAACTGATAGAGCTATCCAGTATAAATAAAGTTAGTTTAATTTAGATTTCCTCCTGTAGTAACACTGGATCAATAAGAGATGATCCTTACTGGACCTCTAGGAAGAACAGTTTAGAACTGATAGAGCTATCCAGTTTAAATAAAGTTAGTTTAGCTTAGGTTTCCTCCTGTAGTAACACTGGATCAATAAGAGATGATCCTTACTGGATCTCTAGGAAGAACAGTTTAGAACTGATAGAGTTATCCAGTATAAATAAAGTTAGTTTAGTTTAGGTTTCCTCCGGTAGTAACACTGGATCAATAAGAGATGACCCTTACTGGACCTCTAACAGTTTCGGCTGATGAAGTTGTAATGTTGTAATACAATATTGATTAAGTAACTTGTTCATTGATTAATGCGCTGAAGACCGCGAGCTTCACTAGGAATTTGCTATGTAAACAAAAGACCATATGCCATTAGCAAGACGTTTTTATCACCTTAAAGCTCAAATAACAAAGTTCATCATCAATTCGCAACCTTTGTCAATACAGCATGAGGCAGCAATTATTTTGATATGTATTAGGTAACAGTGGGATATTTATCGTAGGTTAATGGGCTCAATTGAAATGACCCCAGATAAAATTTTAATGTCTGGTACACTGTCGAATATCTGGTATAAAATTAATCAGTTTAGTTTAGGTTTCTTCCTGTAGTAACACTGCATCAATAAGAGATGATCCTTACTGGACCTCTAGGAAGAACAGTTTACAACTGATAGAGCTATCCAGTATAAATAAAGTTAGTTTAGTTTAGGTTTCCTCCTGTAGTAACACTGGATCAATAAGAGATGATCCTTACTGGACCTCTAGGAAGAACAGTTTAGAACTGATAGAACTGTTTAATACAGATATTTCAAAAGACACATATATCCCCCGAAGCTAAAAAGTTTCAAATTAATAAAATCGTCTTCTAATCCCCAATTAGTTTAAGAATTAACAATCGCATCGCTCGACAGTTTTACCCAAACATTTTCATTCAAAACTTGATACATTTCTCGCTGTATGTGTCAAAGAACGCTACGAAACTATGGTTCGATACAAGTGATATATGTCTATCCAATATCGAGTCAAAAAACCTGACATTTTAACAGAAATTGGCCACGAAAATTGGCTTAATCTACAGGGTTTATTAGGTTACATGTTAAGATAACGATAGCGCGCTTTTTTATTGTATTTGAGCAACAAATTGCCTTCAAATGAATGTTGAAAATGTAGTATTTTTAAACTGTCTGGGTTATTTTAATAGCGAGTGAAGCATGCAATGTCGATATAAATTATAGCAAATATTTGTATATATTTTACATAGTTACATTAATCCACTAGACGATCAAAAGTAACCACGCTATAAATATCGTGTGTTTTCATTCGACAGTCTATATCAATCGCTTAGCACTTACCTTTAGGCGCGAATGAAATAGGCTTGTCTTCGATAGTAAATTTTAAACGATGAAAAGCGCTGGTGATTGCTCGTTTAACGTTTTAATGCAATATGATATATAAAAACATTTTGACCGCAGTTCGCTGGAATATCGCTTATTCTCGTGTCAAATTACTTGATCTGACGGCGGTATTTTAAGATTGATATATGCAATAATATAAGGGCTACATCCTGATTATAGATTGCTGAAGAAATCGCTGAATTCATGTTTTAAAACTGCCGGGAATGCCTCATAAAAGTCCGTAGGCTTTGGACAAAACTCAAACTAGATCGTTGAGGAAAGATGCCAACCGCATATTTGGCGTAATATTTTTAATTTTTTACATACTTGTTAAAAAAAAAAGTTCAAACCGTACGAATCAATTCATAATACTTGAGCGCCTTCCTGCGATAAATTTATTTGCATTTGAAGGTAAATTTTAAGATATTTTAATGCTTTAAAGTCTTGTTAATCTTTGAATTGACCATGAAAAACGTTTCAATTGCGAATGCAAGAGTAATTTTACATTTTTGCCTCGTATACAACAATATATAAGCGTTCGTCGTTTAGTTTTACCTAAATTTGTTCAAAAATCATTTATTCATTACGAGGCGTGCAAGTTTTAATATTCTATCTAAATTTGCTTTCGATTCTGCGACAGACTCTTGTGAATATGACAGTTGATAAACAAGAGCAGACTTCATTTCCCTGTGTTTGAAATTCATCTTAATTGCCGACGAAAATTTAGCGAATTATGAAGGTTTGATGGAAAGGAAAGAAAGGATCTTTGTACAGCTATATCATTTTAACATTTAGCTGAAAATTTCACTTGCGAAAATGCTCGCCAAATTCATCAGAAATATTCTTGTGTATACGGCTTACGGGTTACTTATTTCAATATTTCGCCACGTTTTCAAATGCAAACAGAATTGTTATGAGTTAGAAACATTATTTCGCATTCAGAATAAAGCATTTTCATGTTTATAAGCTCCTAAATGTATTCAGCGCGGGGCCGAAGGTACATTTGTATACAAGCAAATAAACCAGTTATATAAACATTGCCACTGGGCAGGTTTCCGCGAGAGATAGAACACTTTGCATTCCTTGAAACAAACTTATTTCCGCGATAAACAGCCTTTTCACCGGAGGGCAATCTTAGAAACGACTGAATTATCAGAAATGTTTCCGTTACAAAGTTAATTTCCCAGTTCGCCTGAAGCTGAATGCGTTTATATGCAGATAAAAAAATCAATGCAGAGATAAGAACGCGTATTTCCCCTCGGCTTGAGATTAGGTATATATAAATTGTAGCCTGCAGTATAAATTCAAGCGAAGACCCTCAGCTTTTGAGGACACGATTATACTTCGTTATTAGTCCTAAATTCTGTAGCAAAAATCATCGAAAATAAATAAAAATTGATTCCTTACCCCCTGTTGTTGCTTCGCCCGGTCGATGTCCAAATCTCCGGTGGGTAATTTCGTCTCCCGGATAATTTTCTCAGCATTGTTTATCCACAATGTGAGATCTTTGATATCCTTGTGGAACCTCTGCCAAACGGCAACCGCGTTCTCCCAACGACCTTTCCTCGACTTATATTCCCGATTAAGCTTACTCCAACGAGACTGGACCTTTTGAAAAGATTTTGCAACCGTATCAACGTATTTATCTCGCAAAATATCCCTCAAACGGGGCCTTTAATAATCACATCAGTTCATGCTTAAATATGCATTATTTTCACGACATTTTTCAAAACAACAAGAAAGGTTTCTAAATTTTCGACGAGCTGTACGCTCTTCAGAGCGAAGATTGGTCTCTTCAGATTAACTCTGGTGAATAAACAATGGCTCGTCTGAAAAGTTTTTGCAATTGGGATCGTTTTAAGCACGATTTGTGAGATAAATCGCAGTGAAATTCGTCAGATTTCGTCAGAATTTCGTCAAGTAATCACCGCTATATCATCAAATGAGATGTTATCGCGAACTAATTGCTATCAAACGGAATATTGTTTCCGTCCAACAACAAATATAGCTCTTTGAGCGTCTTCAAAAATCACGCAGTTTTGCGGTGAGGACAAGCCTCATGTGTGTTAAATCGCCTGATCGCAGGTGAGGTTACCTTGTCTAAGGCTTGTTCAATCGCCTCAGCCTCTTTTCCTGAGCAGTCTTGCACAGCAATTTCACTACGATCGAAAACTGAATCAACTTCTGGACGAAGTTTGTCGATTGATTCACCAATTTTCTAAAGAAACACAGACATTCCAGTGTTACTACAGGAGGAAACCTAAACTAAACTAACTTTATTTATACTGGATAACTCTATCAGTTCTAAACTGTTCTTCCTAGAGGTCCAGTAAAGATCATCTCTTATTGATCCAGTGTTACTACAGGAGGAAACCTAAACTAAACTAACTTTATTTATACTGGATAGCTCTATCAGTTCTAAACTGTTCTTCCTAGAGGTCCAGTAAGGATCATCTCTTATTGATCCAGTGTTACTATAGGAGGAAACCTAAACTAAATTAACTTTATTTATACTGGATACCTCTATCAGTTCTAAACTACAGTCACCTTAATTTTGTCTTCCTGCTTCGAGAAGTCTTCGTAATCTCCTCCGTGCAGTTCAGGTGCCCCCAGATCGTTCTCAATCGCTCTGATCTTCTCAAAGACTTGTTTGATTTCATCCACAAATTGCCATCCAGGGGACATGCGCACTTCGGCGTCTTTCTCGTCAGCTTCGAGATGGCGTTCCTTGGGCGGAGTATATTGCCTCCAGGAGACCGTCAAGAGCTTGTGTCGACCCATCATCGCATCATCCGCCTCTGAAATGACCCAGAAAAAAACATTAGTTCACATACAACGTTCCCGAAGAGCCTAGCAGCAATATGACAAGTGTTTGAGCGAGTATTTTATCAATTCTGTGAGAAATTGCCTGTGGACGGCTTACGCTTTAGACTAAATTTTGATCGTAGTAACTAGAAGAAAATAAATCACCACAGCCTGAAAAATGGCATATTCGACCATGGTCGAATTCGTCGGAAAATGACGAATTTAACCATGGTCGAATTGGCCAGAAAATGACGAATAGGACCATGGTGATATTCGCCGGAAAATGACGAATACGACCATGGTCGAATTCGCCGGAAAATGACGAATACGACCATGGTCGAATTGACAGGAAAATGACGAATACGACCATGGTCGAATTGGCCGGAAAATGACGAATACGACCATGGTCGAATTCGCCGGAAAATGACGAATACGACCATGGTCGAATTGACAGGAAAATGACGAATACGACCATGGTCGAATTGACAGGAAAATGACGAATACGACCATGGTCGAATTGGCCGGAAAATGACGAATACGACCATGGTCGAATTGGCCGGAAAATGACGAATACGACCATGGTCATATTCGCCGGAAAATGACAAATACGACCATGGTCGAGTTCGCCGGAAAATGACGAATACAACCATGGTCGAATTCGCCGGAAAATGACGAATACGACCATGGTCGAATTCGCCGGAAAATGACGAATACGACCATGGTCGAATTCGCCGGAAAATGACGAATACAACCATGGTCGAGTTCGCCGGAAAATGACGAATACGACCATGGTCGAGTTCGCCGGAAAATGACGAATACGACCATGGTCGAGTTCGCCGGAAAATGACGAATACGACCATGGTCGAATTCGCCGGAAAATGACGAATACGACCATGGTCGAATTCGCCGGAAAATGACGAATACGACCATGGTCGAGTTCGCCGGAAAATGACGAATACGACCATGGTCGAGTTCGCCGGAAAACGTCATCCATTGTATGTCGCTTACCTTTGGGTTCTGCCTTTCCAGTGCATTTGATGTCATCCAAAGTGGATCCTTCGTCTTTGCTTAAAAGAGAATAACAGTTGAAGAGGTACACGTCACCGTTTGTCCGATCTTGCACCGAAACACTACGAAGCTTCCACGAGGGGTCCAGTCCTGTGTTGTCGTGCCATATTCGGAGCTTCTCGACTTCGCCGACAGATGGGACACCGTCAAGGGTGAAAACGTCGACCTTTGAAGACAGAAAAATTGCAACATGAACATATGTAGTTTGCAGGCAGAGTTTGGCGTCTAGTAGTAGCCTGACTAGTCTAGTACTTACTGCTTTGCAATGTTTTATTCAGTGTTTCACTTTCAACCTTCCTCAATGTCAGTTGATCATTGCAGTACTGCTAGTCTGCCTGAGCGCTGACTTTTGCTACTAATACCAGCCTGACTAGTCTAGTACTTACTGCTTTGCAATGTTTTATTCTCTTTCAACCTTCCTCGATGCCATTGAACCTACTCTAAAGCAATGCCAATCTACTCTACCTGACCAGGTTGAAATTGGACATCATTCGTTTCAGACTTGCGCAGATGAAGTTGGTCTGTTCTTCCCTTTGTTCCAAACAATTTGATGTAAGCATTGGCTCTGGTTCCAGCATCTTTATCATCGCCAGTATACACACATATCTTGTAACCTGGAACAATATCATTGATAGATTTTATTTATATTGGATAGCTCTATCAGTTCTAAACTGTTCTTCCTAGAGGTCCAGTAAGGATCATCTCTTATTCATCCAGTGTTACTACAGGAGGAAACCTAAACTAAACTAACTTCATTTATACTGGATAGATCTATCAGTTCTAAACTGTTCTTCCTAGAGGTCCAGTAAGGATCATGTCAAATTTCTGTGCTCACCTTGTGGTTTCTTATAGTGGTCAAAGCGGTTATCAATCAACTGTAGCTTCTTTCTCATAATGAGCAAATCTTTCTCAGGAACTGTTTCCACTCCACGCTCTTGCAGATCTTCCACTTTCTTCTCAACAATTTCCAAAACTTCTCTATGAAGATCATCGTCGTGAAGAACTTTCTAAAAAGAACATGAAATTTGCTCAGATTTTGATCATCATCAATCCGTACTTTAAAACGCCCCTAACTTATAAAGCATTTCTGAAATTGTAGAAAGAATGAACGACTTGCGCTGTAGACTAATTTCTTACATCGACGATAAAAAGGACGTTTTCTGAAAGAGCTTACTAAAATTAGTAAAACTGCCAAGTTTGGCTGGGGTTGTTGTAAATTACGGAAAATATAGCCATGCAAAGTTGACGATTTTTGTCTACCTTTGTATTACGACCAAAAGTTTGTAACTAATTTAATTACACATTTCCGCAGGTAATACAAAAGTATACAAAGGATGCCAACTTCGCATGGCTATATTTTCTGTATTTTACAAAATTTCGCAGCCAAACTTTGCATTTGCACTAATTTAAGTAAGATCTTTTTAGCTGGGGTGATTTATTTTCCTCTAGTCACTTCCATAAAAAAATATTCTAAAGCGCAAGTCGTCCATTAGAAACACACACGGATGAATAGTTTACCTTCCCGGATTCTGGTTCAACCTGCCTCAAATGCTTATCCATATATGTGATCCATAATTTTGTGCTGGGAACGTTGCTTCTAAATTGGTACCATTGCGGGTTGATCTTGACAACTTTTTTGCTGTGAACATCGCAAAGTCTCAGCCATTGTCCAGTTAGCTTTAGGAGATCTTCTCGCGTGTCATCTTGTTTGGCTAAGTCTGGTTCACGATCGATCACCGAACGTCCTTCGATCAAGACTCGGTCAATCTTCGGATTGAGATCGTCAAGATGGCGATTGGTGGTCTAGAGAAAATGTCGTATCGATTAAAAACTATCTACACTGGACCGCCACGTTTGAGATATCTTTCTCAGGTAGTTCAGACACAAACCACGACAGCTTATTGTAGAATACTACCTACACTGGACCACCACGTTTGAGATATCTTTCTCAGGTAGTTCAGACACAAACCACGACAGCTTATTGTAGAATACTACCTACACTGGACCACCACGTTTGAGATATCTTTCTCAGGTAGTTCAGACACAAACCACGACAACTTATTGTAGAATACTACCTACATTATAGAGAAGTTTAACTTGCTTTCCTACCTTAATCTTCTGTTCGACAACTACGTCATGTTTCGCACGAGGGGTGACAATTATTTCTTCAGTAATTTCTTGGATTGTGCGAATTTCAATAAATATTTCTCGCATCGTTTGTTGTAAGTCGTCTAGAATAACAATGATAAAGTACATAATATGGCATACTACAGCAGGATACATCGTGGTACTGTAGTGGACAGTATTGTACATTGAAGTACAGCATGATACATAACCGTACACTAGGGGGGCAGTAAGGTACAACATGATATAGATTGGTACATCACAGTATTTTTGAAGATAGTAAGGTGCATCATGATTCAGTATGATACATCAGCCTACATTATGGTACAGCATAGTAAATGATGGGGCAGTATGGTACATCATGATACATCTGGATACATCTTGGTACATTATGTTCCATTATGAAACATCATGGTACATCATGGTACATCATGATATATCATGGTACATCATGTTACATTATGGTACATCATGGTACATGATATATCATGGTGCATCATGTTACATTATGGTACATCATGGTACATCATGATACATCATGGTAAATTATGGTACATCATGGTACATCATGGTACAGTATGAAGTAGTAAGGTACTGTAGTCTATAATATAACCCCATATATCCCTCACCTGGCGTTTTCTGTACTTCCTCTTCCTCAGCGCTCCACCACAGATCATCGCTGCTGTCAGGAGCAGCACTCTCGACCATCACCATCTTACTCATAGTCACCTGCTCATCCCGAGGTCTTCCCGCATCAATGATATCCTTCTCTTCTTTACGCGTCTTCAAAGCGTACTCGAGTTCCCTCATCTTAATTTGAATATTATCCCAGCGTCTCTCCAGCAATCGACGATACGGCTCCATGATGTGTGTTCCTGCTTTCAAAAAGTCGCCGCTTTGCGATTTCATTTCTTCAAACTTCGGCTGTTTAGTTTCCACGTCCAGTTTGATTCGCTAAAGAAAAACACAATGATCTGTCAGGATCCACATCCAATATACCATATTCTATCAGTTTTTCCTATAGGTCCAGTAAGGATCATCTCTTATTGATCCAGTGTTACTACAGGAGGAAACCTAAACTAAACTAACTTTATTTATACTGGATAGCTCTATCAGTTCTAAACTGTTCTTCCTAGAGGTCCAGTAAGGATCATCTCTTATTGATCCAGTGTTACTACAGGAGGAAACCTAAACTAAACTAACTTTATTTATACTGGATAGCTCTATCAGTTCTAAACTGTTCTTCCTAGAGGTCCAGTAAGGATCATCTCTTATTGATCCAGTGTTACTACAGGAGGAAACCTAAACTAAACTAACTTTATTTATACTGGATAGCTCTATCAGTTCTAAACTGTTCTTCCTAGAGGTCCAGTAAGGATCATCTCTTATTGATCCAGTGTTACTACAGGAGGAAACCTAAACTAAACTAACTTTATTTATACTGGATAGCTCTATCAGTTCTAAACTGTTCTTCCTAGAGGTCCAGTAAGGATCATCTCTTATTGATCCAGTGTTACTACAGGAGGAAACCTAAACTAAACTAACTTTATTTATACTGGATAGCTCTATCAGTTCTAAACTGTTCTTCCTAGAGGTCCAGTAAGGATCATCTCTTATTGATCCAGTGTTACTACAGGAGGAAACCTAAACTAAACTAACTTTATTTATACTGGATAGCTCTATCAGTTCTAAACTGTTCTTCCTAGAGGTCCAGTAAGGATCATCTCTTATTGATCCAGTGTTACTACAGGAGGAAACCTAAACTAAACTAACTTTATACTGGATGGCTCAATCAGTTCTAAACTGTTCTTCCTAGAGGTCCAGTAAGGATCATCTCTTATTGATCCAGTGTTACTACAGGCGGAAACCTAAACTAAACTAACTTTATTTATACTGGATAGCTCTATCAGTTCTAAACTGTTCTTCCTAGAGGTCCAGTAAGGATCATCTCTTATTGATCCAGTGTTACTACAGGAGGAAACCTAAACTAAACTAACTTTATTTATACTGGATAGCTCTATCAGTTCTAAACTGTTCTTCCTAGAGGTCCAGTAAGGATTATCTCTTATTGATCCAGTGTTACTACAGGAGGAAACCTAAACTAAACTAACTTTATTTATACTGGATAGCTCTATCAGTTCTAAACTGTTCTTCCTAGAGGTCCAGTAAGGATCATCTCTTATTGATCCAGTGTTACTACAGGAGGAAACCTAAACTAAACTAACTTTATTTATACTGGATAGCTCTATCAGTTCTAAACTGTTCTTCCTAGAGGTCCAGTAAGGATCATCTCTTATTGATCCAGTGTTACTACAGGAGGAAACCTAAACTAAACTAACTTTATTTATACTGGATAGCTCTATCAGTTCTAAACTGTTCTTCCTAGAGGTCCAGTAAGGATCATCTCTTATTGATCCTGTGTTACTACAGGAGGAAACCTAAACTAAACTAACTTTATTTATACTGGATAGCTCTATCAGTTCTAAACTGTTCTTCCTAGAGGTCCAGTAAGGATTATCTCTTATTGATCCAGTGTTACTACAAAAGGAAACCTAAACTAAACTAACTTTATTCACACTGGACTATCAGCTAAAACATTCTTCTAACAAGCCCAAGGTTATCCAAAGCATACTCACATCAAATTCTCTCCTTGCTTCGGTATAATTATTCTGTATTTCATTTTTATCCAACTCTGCCAAAGCTTTGTCGATGCTTTCGACCCAAACATTCAAATCGTCCACCGTTTTTTCAAAGTCCGAAACCTGTTTCTTCTGATGTTGAAGTGTGGTCTGGCGTTTCTCCGCAAGGGAGCTAAGATCTTCCCAAAGCTCGTTCACATGGTTGATACGGTCTTCAAGATTGTCCAATTGGGCAGTCTCGCTGAGATCGACAAGCTCGCGACCTTTTTGTGAGACGCTCTGAACTTCAGCCATTTTGCGAGTGAGTTGATGAATTAAATTCTAAAGAGATGCAATCGATTTTAGCGTCCAACTTGTTTACAGGGCAGCGTTATCATGTTTACAAACCGGAGGACGATAACACAAGTACGATCGTACTATAGGGACCAGGAACTGCGTAACCGAGTTTAATTTCTGAACTGCATTGTATTTATAACAATGGAGAGGACAATGTATTTCTAATCGTTTCCGTTTACTTATATATAGGCTGAGTATTAATGATATGTATATATTATTTGCTGCAAATATATCGAGAATTGCTTGTAACTTGCTTCAAAGGTCAAAAGTAGAAATTCGAACTCCGTCAATAATCGATGCGGAATATTGCTTAGAATAATTGTGCCAAGTTTCATTCCGATCAAACAAGTAATGCCAGCGCCTTAGGGTTTTTTTAAAGAGCGTCGCCCCCTAACAACAACAACAACAACAAGATTAGCAGCGGTTAGGGACCAGTTCCTGGTCCAACAAGTGTGTTTCGAGAAAAATCGATCATTATTAATTGATGAAACAACGTTTATTTGTTTTGAAGATGTATAATAAAAAACGCACGCACAATGACTAGCTCTGCCATTGAAATACTTAGCCGAAAATATTTACTATATCACACAGTCAAAAGACTCAATTTTTCACCAAAGTTTTATGAAAAACTAGGCGTCTTTTTCAAGCGGATATTTCTGTGTTTCAGTATCATTTCTAAGTATCATTTTGAAGAACATTTCACGTGCGATAAATTACACTAAGACTACACCTGATTCAACACGGGGGAATTTTGCTTTAGATCAATCAGCAAGCTTGTTTACATTTTCAGTAAGCCAATCAGAAAGCATAAATTTTGATAAAAAGTACAATATATACCATTTTACATGAAGTATTAAAAATGTAGGCATTCTGATTGGCTTTGAGTGAAAAATGTAAACAAATATAGCGAGAATTCCTCCAAGTTACCTTATTCCATTTAAGCTCTCCGTCGACATCTGACGGAAATCCTCCTTGTATTTTTCTGTTTAATTCCATTGAAGTGTCTTTCAACCATTTTTCAATATCGTTCATGTTTTTCTCGACTTCTTGCGACAATTCTAAAGCCTCTGTGAAGTCCTACAGTGAGAAATATCGACTCTTAGCTTGAGGTTTTCTTAGAATAACACTATTTCATCAATGTCAGATGATTTTACTCATCAGTGGAAGAGTACTGTCAGTTAATAAGTTAACAAAACTATCTGTCAGTGTCTCTTGTTAACCCATTAGCTTGCAATGCACCCAGATGTGACCTACTTTAGTATTTTACTCTGGTAATGTCAGATAATTTTACTCATCAGTGGAAGAGCAATTGAACGAGGCGAACACTTCACTGACCTGTTCTTTCTTCTTCAACTTTGCCTCCATATCAGAGTGTTGCTCAACAACTTCCTCGATGCGTTTCTCAATTCCAGATTTTTTCGACGCGTCAGGGATTCCCGACATAATCTTCTGACCCGTCCTCTTGAACGAATCGATTGTCCGTTTCAAATTCTCGTTCTCGTCTTGCAGTTTCTGAAAAATAAGTGACAAAAGAGACCATTCAACAGCAAGCGAAAAAAAACAACATAAAATAAACATTAACTACGAAATTTCAACAGACATAAACTGGAGCATTTCACTTGATGAAGATAAATATCAGTTTAAGGTTGAGTGGATTTTAAATTTATGAATAAGGTTGGATTTCCACTTGCAAAGGAATGGTTCGCAAGCGAAATATTTGCATATTTTTTATTTTGAATTTCAAACAGTCAAGTTGAAATAATTGTTCAAATTACTGTCAAAATTCAAAAACAAAATCTGCGAATAATATTTAGCTGGCGAACCATTTCCTTGCAATTGGAAATCAAGCCAAAGACCTAATCGGGATTGTTTGAGAAAAACGCGGCCAAAATTCGGCCTCTTGGGCAATTATCAAATCGCTCGTGAAAGCTCACTTAGCAAATCAATGGCAAAGACAACCCCTTAAAAGGTTTAGGTTTTAGTATATAAATTTGCTTCGGTTATCCATCAACCATGAACCTACAAAATATCATATTTCAATACCTTGCATTCATCCAGCTGTAGTTTTATTTCTCGCGGTTCTGAGGAAGTCAGGCGTATTTTTTTCAAAGTTCTTGCAATGCCATCCACAGCAGACAATATCTGACCATGGTAGGACACGAATTCTGATTCCATTTCGCGAGATGGTCTGGCTTTGAGCTCTTCAAATTTCGCCTGCATCAGCTTCCACTGAGCATGGACCTCTTCCATCGCGTGATTCACCTCCTTCTTCTGTTTATCTGAAGCGTTTGCGAGCAATTCACGATTTTGTTTCTCCAAAGCTTCGAGCATGTTCTCATGTTCAGCAAAGTCGGCCTTCAATTCCTGCAAATAAAACCATCATAGTTAGTTTCCTCCTGTCCTAACACTGGATCAATAAGAGATGATCCTTACTGGACCTCTAGGAAGAACAGTTTAGAACTGATAGAACTATCCAGTATAAATAAAGTTAGTTTAGTTTAGGTTTCCTCCTGTAGTAACACTGGATCAATAAGAGATGATCCTTACTGGACCTCTAGGAAGAACAGTTTAGAACTGATAGAACTATCCAGTATAAATAAAGTTAGTTTAGTTTAGGTTTCCTCCTGTAGTAACACTGGATCAATAAGAGATGATCCTTACTGGACCTCTAGGAAGAACAGTTTAGAACTGATAGAGGTATCCAGTGTAAATAAAGTTAGTTTAGTTTAGGTTTCCTCCTGTAGTAACACTGGATCAATAAGAGATGATCCTTACTGGAACTCTAGGAAGAACAGTTTAGAACTGATAGAGCTATCCAGTATAAATAAAGTTAGTTTAGTTTAGGTTTCCTCCTGTAATAACACTGGATGAATCAGAGATGATCCTTACTGGACCTCTAGGAACAACAGTTTAGAACTGATAGAGCTATCCACTTAGTCACGCTTCTATTGAGACTAACCTCAATGGTGGTAACATCCACAGGCTCGCTGCTGTCTAGCTTGCGTTCAATGACTTGGATAGATTTTGTAATCCATATTTTAATCACTCCAATGTCTTTCTTCGATTTCTCCCGACGTCCGAGCTCCTCCTCGAGGATCTGTTCTATATTCTTCACCCGCTCTTTTAGATCACCCAGGAGGTTTTGGTATTCCTGAAGGCGCTGTTTCACTGTTACCATAGCTACCTTCTTCGTGATCAACTGCTGAGCGAGAGTACTTGGAGATTGCGGGCCATCCTCGTCAAGTTCTGACATCCGTTTTTGTAGAGCCTAAAAAACGTTTCATTTTTAGCTTGCAATGCACCAAGATGTGACCTACTTTAGTATTTTAATCTGTCTAATGTCAGATGATTTTACTCATCAGTGGAAGAGTACTGCCAGTTAATAAGTTAACAAAACTATCTGTCAGTGTCTCTTGTTAACCTATTAGCTTGCAATGCACCCAGATGTGACCTACTTTAGTATTTTACTCTGTCTAATGTCAGATGATTTTACTCATCAGTGGAAGAGTACTGTCAGTTAATAAGTTAACAAAACTATCTGTCAGTGTCTCTTGTTAACCCATTAGCTTGCAATGCACCCAGATGTGACCTACTTTAGTATTTGACTCTGTCTAATGTCAGATGATTTTACTCATCAGTGGAAGAGTACTGTCAGTTAATAAGTTAACAAAACTATCTGTCAGTGTCTCTTGTTAACGAAGACTCACCCTGAGGCATTTCTCCATGATTGTGTCATCTTTCCCCACAGACTCATGACAAGTCTGGACGTTCTTCTGTATCTCCCCAATCCTCTCCGTTTCCCGGTCGATTGCGCGATCAAATGTTTTGATCTCCGATTGTAGTTTTAACACGTCTTGTTGTTTTTTGTTGAGAAGGGCTTTTAATTCTGCCCACTCGGTGTTGAAGACTCTGATTTTCTCGCGAAGATTAGCAGCGGCTGCCTTGTCTGAACGAGAGATCAGCTTGTTTGCTGTAGTGTTGATTTCAGCAACTGCAGAATTATTCTTGCTCACTTCATGAAGAACTTCCTAAAACGGGAGAATCAAGTCTTGTTTATGTTTGATCAAGCAATGATAGTTGATGAAACTCTCATGTAAACTCTCGCTTGTCAACTCTCATGCAACTCTTGCTCTCGTTTGATCAAGCAATGATAGTTGATGAAACTCTCATGTAAACTCTCGCTTGTCAACTCTCATGCAACTCTTGTTCTCGTTTGATCAAGCAATGATAGTTGATGAAACTCTCATGTAAACTCTCGCTTGTCAACTCTCATGCAACTCTTGTTCTCGTTTGATCAAGCAATGATAGTTGATGAAACTCTCATGTAAACTCTCGCTTGTCAACTCTCATGCAACTCTTGTTCTCGTTTGATCAAGCAATGATAGTTGATGAAACTATCATGTAAACTCTCGCTTGTCAACTCTCATGCAACTCTTGTTCTCGTTTGATCAAGCAATGATAGTTGATGAAACGATTTACAAAAGAAGCTATACTGTACGTTATATATAGTTTTTTATATATACGTTCAAATACAAACAAAACTAAACGCTATCTTATTCACGAGGTTATTTCGTTGCAACAACAGAATTTAAGTCTAATACAATGACTCTCTACTTTGTTTTCTTCAAGCAAGAACCTCATATACTCTCAAACGTAATATCAACTGTCAATATTACCTGGCTCAGCTGAGAAGAATAGATTTCATTTTGCAAAGGACGACAATCTCACAAGCGTAATAATAAAAACAAACCAAAGTTCATGCATTATATGAACACACAAAGAAGCTTGCATATTTAACCAGCTTGCTGATAAATTGTCCAAACCACATTTACTGTTTTTCTCATCAAACATTTATGTACTGTACTCATTGGAAAAAACTATTTTTGGATTTCGTTTGAGCAAAATGCGATTAAACAACGGATTTAAGAACTGCTTATACGCGCTAGGTTGCCGGGATAAATTACTTTGAATAAAATTCACCGGGAACAGAATTCACTGGATCTTTTTTAAACGCGAGTAATCTTTAATTGCTCGTGAAAATCGCGGTAAAAATTTCAAAACACAATTTAAAGATATCTGCTGTTATTATTAAACGAACTGGGCGCTGTTTTTTATAATAATTGTGACAGTTTAGGTCGATAAATGTTTAATTTTCCTAAATTTGTTTTATATATATTACACGCGTTTTTACGCAGAGATTTGTAATTTTGACAAGGCGAATCCTGAATTTTAAAAAGATAAAAATCTTAAGCGAAGTAACCTTGTTTAATATTGAGATATTTCATTTGACATTCGTTTCAAATTCTATAAAATGCAGGATTTACAAACGCGAAATCGCCACGGCAGACCTGAAACTCTGGCAGTATAATCTTGTTAAATGTTGATGCGAATTTGCAAAGCGATGACATTGCTACTAAACAAATTAAGACGTCTAAAAGCTTGCAGTATTTCCATATCATTCGTGTATATGGGTTAAAAACATAGCGCTTGATGCAAGGAATGAAAAACCGAGCGAATTTCAGAATGAAAACATTGAAAATACGGCCTGAAACTCACCTTGTAGTGATCAAGTCTCTCTTGCGTCACGTCAGCATGCTGTAGTGTGCTTTCGTCATCCTCGACGCCTGCGCGCGCATGCTTCATCCACGTGACCAAGCGCTTGATATCTTGGTCCAGTTTCTCGGCATCGTTCAGAGCCTTGGAGAGCTTCTCTTTTTGTTCGTTCGATTGCTGCACAGCGGTCGCCCAGTTTGATTTTAGATCGCTCAGCTGTTGCTTCACCTTCGTCGCGTACTCGGGTTCGGATTTGTTCGTGATATAGGTACCAGTCTCTTGTAATGAATCCATTTTGCGCTGCAGTTTCCCAATGTCGCCTTGTAAAGCCTTGAAATGAATAGTTAAATTTGTTGTAAAGCGGTTGAGTAATTTGGCTGGATAATGCTTTAAAATCGCGGCTTACCTCGCACTGATCTAGTTGGACTTCAAGAGACTCTGGATCGCCATCAACAACTTGCTCTTGAATGAAGCTTTCGACATCTCCGATCCATTTCATTAACCCAGCAATCTCGCTTTGGAACTGTCTAGTTTGATTTATACCTAAAGCAAAAGTATTTTCAATATTAAGACCAAAATTATTTTATCATTATCAACAGATGAGTAAAATTATCTGGGGCCGGTTGTATCAAGCCCGTTTAGCTTAAACGGTGGATAAGTTCAAAATAGAAAGCAAGTCTATCGTTTTATTCAACAAGCAAACTAAATGTTTTTTAACTTAACACAAAGATACTGTTTACAACTACATATTCAGTGCATAATATTCCAATTGTCTCATTCAACAGAGTTGTAAGAGTGTTATTTAATTTTGATTTATCCACCGTTTAAGCTAAACGCTCTTGATACAACCAGCCCCTGGCATTAGACAGAGTGAAATACTAAAGTAGGTCACATCTGGGTGCATTGCAAGCTAATGGGTTAACAAGAGACACTGAAAGATAGTTTTGTTAACTTATTAACTGACAGTACTCTTCCACTGATGAGTAAAATCATCTGACATTAGACAGAGTGAAATACTAAAGTAGGTCACATCTGGGTGCATTGCAAGCTAATGGGTTAACAAGAGACACTGAAAGAGTTTTGTTAAACTTATTAACTGACAGTACTCTTCCACTGATGAGTAAAATCATCTGACATTAGACAGAGTGAAATACTAAAGTGGGTCACATCTGGGTGCATTGCAAGCTAATGGGTTAACAAGAGACACTGACAGATAGTTTTGTTAACTTATTAACTGACAATACTCTTCCACTGATGAGTAAAATCATCTGACATTAGACAGAGTAAAATAGGCTAATGGTAGTTTGAAATTCACATAAAACAACGACGTGAACATACCTTTAGAAATCTGGTTTTGTCGTTTTTCCAAAAGCAAGATAACTTCCTTCCATTTGTCGTTCAAACTAGCGAGATTTCGGCGCAGTTGTTCAGCCTTGGGTTTGCTCAGCGATTTCGTAACTTTTTCGCTGCTTTTGTTCAAATTATCCAAAACTTTTTGGTTGGACTTCAAGTTCGATTCCATCTCCTGGTGTGGCAAGAGAAATGAGATTAATTTTTAGGATATCCACAGATATGTCGACTCTAGTTTTATTGGATAGCTCTAAGGATCATCTCTTATTGATCCAGTGTTACTACAGGAGGAAACCTAAACTAAACTAACTTTATTTATACTGGATAGCTCTATCAGTTCTAAACTGTTCTTCCTAGAGGTCCAGTAAGGATCATTTCTTATTGATCCAGTGTTACTACAGGAGGAAACCTAAACTAAACTAACTTTATTTATACTGGATAGCTCTATCAGTTCAAACTGTTCTTCCTAGAGGTCCAGTAAGGATCATCTCTTATTGATCCAGTGTTACTACAGGAGGAAACCTAAGCTAAACTAACTTTATTTATACTGGATAACTCTATCAGTTCTAAACTGTTCTTCCTAGAGGTCCAGTAAGGATCATCTCTTATTGATCCAGTGTTACTACAGGAGGAAACCTAAACTAAACTAACTTTTTTGATACTGGATAGTTCTATCAGACTTACCCGTACGGCAGCTAACTGTTCTTCCAGCTTGACGGTGTCAGTTAATTTAAACTCAACAGTGATCTTTTCTTCAATATCTTTCAGAAGTTTAGATAAGCTTTCCATGGCGTCCAGGTATTGTCTTGGTGGCCCTGATTCTAATGCATTGTTCAAAGTTTTTGTCCTGGTTGCAAGCAAGTTTGAAACCTTCGACCATTTCTCTCTGAAGCGATTCAATTTTCGTTCCAGTTCAGCAGGTCTTTGGTTGGCTTCAAGCTCGGAATATTTCGCCATAAGATTGTCAAGTTCGGCTTGTTTCGCTTGAAGTTCTTCTTCCAGACGCTAAAATAGAAAAAGTGATAAATATTGTTAGTTTGAAAACAGTCTAAACTCACGAGAAAAGAATCTTTAATGTTTCTAGGGTTGAGCAGAAAATCCTCCCTAGAGAACCAAGTGAACTATCCAAGTCTAATTATGAGATCAGTGGAGACATATCCAGTCTATTTTTGAGGTCAGGATATAGCCTATCTAATCTTCATACGAGAGAAAGTTGAATTCAGTGTATTTTTGAGATCAGTATGAAATTTATCCAGTTTTTATTTTGAGATCAGTAGCAGACACATCCATTCTTGAACATTTGAGATCAGCAATTAATCTATCCAGTTTCAATCATAAGATCATCAAAACCTATCCAGTTTGTGTTTGAGATCTACATGGAAACATGCGACATATCCAGTGTACGCTTGAGATCAGTCAATCCACATACCTTGATAATCTTCTTCTGTTCCTGGAGCCGAGCCTCGTCATCCGGGATCTCTCCCATTCGGTCCAGTTCCTTCTCGGCTTCGATGACGATAATCTCCAGCGTGGTGATAATCTCGATAATATAACTCACTTTCTGGTCTTGGGAGACCTGTGTTAACCTGGCTTTTCGCTCCTCAAGCAAAACACATAATCTTTCCCAGCGTGTATTAAAGTCTGCCAACAACTGTTCAACCGTTGTCGCTCGATACGAAATGCTTTTCGTTTCTGTGATAATGTCCTCGGCTTTTCTCGAAACTCTCGTGATGCTCGCCTTTCTTTTCTTGACAGCGTTGTCCAAAGACTAACAGAAATGAAAATATGTTTGTCAATTTCACGTTGTCCCACAAAACCTTTTCGTTTCGAATTGTAAAGGGAATTAAAGATTGATTTTTTATGCTGCAATATGCCCGCTAAATGACAGTACTCTTCCACTGATGAGTAAAATCATCTGACATTAGACAGAGTAAAATACTAAAGTAGGTCACATCTGGGTGCATTGCAAGCTAATGGGTTAACAAGAGACACTGACAGATAGTTTTGTTAACTTATTAACTGACAGTACTCTTCCACTGATGTGTAAAATCATCTGACATTAGACAGAGTAAAATACTAAAGTAGGTCACACCTGGGTGCATTGCAAGCTAATGGGTTAAAAGTTTTACAAACAAACCTGAATGAGTTCTTTTTTCTCGCCAAGTTCCTTGGAAGATGCAGTGCTCGCCTCGGCCATTGGGGAATTTAATAATGTCTGTGTGTCATTCATCCATTGTAGAGTTTCATCAACTTCTTTTCGGAGATGGGTCAGCTTCACATCCAGACCCTTCAACTAAAAACACAACTTGTTGATAAGCCTTGCGATATATCTGGGGAGATTTGTGAAGGGCGTACAATGGATCTTACCAAAGTAAGTCTTTGAGTGACTTGAGAAGTTAGTGAATTCCATCTTTCGTTGAACTCCTCCATCTGATCTTGGATTTGTTTCACAGAAACTGAATCCTCGTCGACATTTTCCGCGACTTTCTGGGCTGCATCATTGAAATCTTGGAAAGACGCCTGCTGACGAGCCATTTCCATTTCCAGTTTCTAGGAAGAAAGACTTTGTGAAATTGGATAGTTCTATCAGTTCTAAACTCTTCTGCCTAGAGATCCAGTAAGGATCATCTGTTATTGATCCAGTGTTACTACAGGAGGAAACCTAAACTAAACTAACTTTATTTATACTGGATAGCTCTATCAGTTCTAAACTGTTCTTCCTAGAGGTCCAGTAAGGATCATCTCTTATTGATCCAGTGTTACTACAGGAGGAAACCTAAACTAAACTAACTTTATTTATACTGGATAACTCTATCAGTTCTAAACTGTTCTTCCTAGAGATCCAGTAAGGATCATCTGTTATTGATCCAGTGTTACTACAGGAGGAAACCTAAACTAAACTAACTTTATTTATACTGGATAGCTCTATCAGTTCTAAACTGTTCTTCCTAGAGGTCCAGTAAGGATCATCTCTTATTGATCCAGTGTTACTACAGGAGGAAACCTAAACTAAACTAACTTTATTTATACTGGATAACTCTATCAGTTCTAAACTGTTCTTCCGAGAGGTCCAGTAAGGATCATCTCTTATTGATCCAGTGTTACTACAGGAGGAAACCTAAACTAAACTAACTTTATTTATACTGGATAACTCTATCAGTTCTAAACTGTTCTTCCTAGAGGTTCAGTGAGGATCATCTCTTATTGATCCAGTGTTACTACAGGAGGAAACCTAAACTAAACTAACTTTATTTATACTGGATAACTCTATCAGTTCTAAACTGTTCTTCCTAGAGGTTCAGTGAGGATCATCTCTTATTGATCCAGTGTTACTACAGGAGGAAACCTAAACTAAACAAATTTATACGAAGCTCCCTAATGTTCAATAATGATCTCATATTTCTGGCGAACCTGTAGTTGTTTAATAGTTCGGTGAACGTTATCAATATCGCTGGCATCAATTCGTTTCATATCCTCGATTTCTTTCTCTTTAGAAGTGAGCCATTCGTTCAAACGGGCCTCCTCAGTAGTATACTGTTGCCAACTCACTTGCAGAACTTGAAGCAGTTCCCATCTAGAGTTCGTAAAGAAACACAAAATTAGCGAGATGTTGAATCAACAATGTTGGGGCGAAATATGCTGTGTTTTACAATTTAAATATACACTTCAATCACACCAGAGGCAGGTTGTATCAAGCCTGTTTAGCTTAAACGGTGGTTAAGTTCAAAATAGAAAGCAAGTCTATCGTTTTATTCAACAAGCGAACTAAATGTTTTTAAGCTTAATATAAAGCTACTGTTTACAACTACATATTCAGTGCATAATATTCAAGTTGACTCATTCAAGAGAGATGCAAGAGTGTTATCTAATTTTGAGTTATCCACCGTTTAAGCTAAACGGGCTTGATACAACCGGCCCCAGAATAACTGTGTACCTTTCTTCCGTCCATTTGCAAACACTGGACCATCTTTCTCCCAGAATTCCTAGCTGTTCTTCGAGTTCGGCCGTCGCATTGTCGTTGGCGTTGTCGTCGACGACAACCACCATATGGGTGAGAGAGTTCACCTTCTGCTGTTGTGCTTCTAGATCGTCTTGAAACGACTGAAAACGATAAACGTGAAATAGAGAAAACAATATACCAGTTTCATCTCACCAAATCTGAAGGAAACTCGTTTCTAAACAACTTTTTGTCAAGATGATCTGTGCTCTCCCTGCTTGCTCCTATCTAGTTTAATGTCAGGGGCTTGTCAATAATATGTTGCAAGGTTATTGACTGAACATATTTGTTAGAGAAGTCGATTTAGTAAGTTAATACCGTACCTTATGTTCATCAATTTGGCGTTTTAATGTGTCAACGTCAGAGCCGACTGGATCGCTTGATTCAATCTTTGCTTCAGCGGCTGTTAACCACGATGCCAGTTCATCAATTTGTCTTTGTTGTAGATCCATGAGTTGTTCATGAAGTCTGTAGGAGAACAAGGTTTAGTTTAGGTTTCCTCCTGTAGTAACACTGGATCAATAAGAGATGATCCTTACTGGACCTCTAGGAAGAACAGTTTAGAACTGATAGAGCTATCCAGTATAAATAAAGTTAGTTTAGTTTAGGTTTCCTCCTGTAGTAACACTGGATCAATAAGAGATGATCCTTACTGGACCTCTAGAAAGAACAGTTTAGAACTGATAGAGCTAGACGTACTTGCTCTGTCTATCCATCGCTGCTAATCTCAAAGCCTCCCAACGATCGTTCAACATGATCATTTGTTCTCTAATCTGGTGTTCTTCTTTCTCACCGACCAAACCTTCGCTGATCAGCTGATTTCCAAACTCCAAAACACTTCCGATATTCGACTGATGGTTTGTCAAATCAATCATGAAATACTAAACACGAAAATAGGAAGAACGACGATCATAGATCTTAATCCAATCTTATCCTAATCTGAATTCAATCTTCAAACAATCTTAAACTAATCTTAATCTGATCTTATGCTAATCTTGATTTGATCTTAAACTAATCTTAATCTAATCCTAATCTTAAATCAATCTTAAACTAATCTTAATCCGATTTTATCTTAATCTTGATTTGATCTTAAACTAATCCTAACCAAATCTTATCTTGATCTTAATCTGGTTTTAAACTGATCCTAATCAGATCATAATCTAATCCTGATACCTCGTGATCATGAAACTGGTCTTTGACAACATCCACATCATTGGAGATCTTCGCTTGACCTTTCAGTTGTTTTTCCGCCTTCTCCAACCAAGTCAAAACTTCGGTCAACGTGTCGTTGTAATCTTCCCATTCACCCTGAGATGATGTCGTCTCCTCTCCCGGTTCAGCCTGTAGAGGAAATATATCTATTCATCCAGTGTTTCTAGCGAGGTCTAACTGACTTTATTTATACTGGATAGCTTTATCAATTCTAAACTGTTCTTCCTAGAGATCCAGTAAAGATCATCTCTTATTGATCCAGTGTTACTACAGGAGGAAACCTAAACTAAACTGACTTTATTTATACTGGATAGCTCTATCAGTTCTAAACTGTTCTTCCTAGAGGTCCAGTAAGGATCATCTCTTATTGATCCAGTGTTACTACAGGAGGAAACCTAAACTAAACTAACTTTATTTATACTGGATAACTCTATCAGTTCTAAACTGTTCTTCCTAGAGATCCAGTAAGGATCATCTGTTATTGATCCAGTGTTACTACAGGAGGAAACCTAAACTAAACTAACTTTATTTATACTGGATAGCTCTATCAGTTCTAAACTGTTCTTCCTAGAGGTCCAGTAAGGATCATCTCTTATTGATCCAGTGTTACTACAGGAGGAAACCTAAACTAAACTAACTTTATTTATACTGGATAACTCTATCAGTTCTAAACTGTTCTTCCGAGAGGTCCAGTAAGGATCATCTCTTATTGATCCAGTGTTACTACAGGAGGAAACGTAAACTAAACTAACTTTATTTATACTGGATAGCTCTATCAGTTCTAAACTGTTCTTCCTAGAGATCCAGCGAGGATCATCTCTTATTGATCCAGTGTTACTACAGGAGGAAACCTAAACTAAACTAACTTTATTTATACTGGATAGCTCTATCAGTTCTAAACTGTTCTTCCTAGAGGTCCTACAAGTGAAGCACATACCTCGTAAGTGTTTTGAGTGACTTTAACGACACGAGAACTGCGTACTGTCTCAGTTGAGGTGCTGCTGAGCTCGCTGGAGTCTTCTAAAACGATCTCCTTGTGTGGTAGTGTATCAAACAGCGTAGTCAGGTACATCATTATCGATTTCTTGTCCGGCTGGTCACGATCGACATCTGACAGATGTAAAATAAGGAATCGTTACCTCGCTTACGAAATAGCCGATAATAGCTCGGAACCAGGATTTTGACACTCGGACTTACCTTCGGGGTCCAGAAGCATAGGTACCCCAAGATGGGTGTTAGCCACATTGAAGGCATGTTCGAGATTTGCACGAGAGCTATTCCTTAGCAAATGCTTATAATCAAAGAGGTCTGGCCTACGATAAAAATATCGTATTAGTTTAGATAGTTGTATAAAGCTTGGACAATGCTTCAGGGTTACCTGTGGCGATGAATGAGGGCATTGAACGCCAAGCCACTTTTCCAACTGCTCGTCAAATTCGTCACGTTAACCCCTTCATAACTACAAAGAAATAACAAAAGTTTTATTGTGAATTTAACAACTTATTGAAGAGCTTGTGTTCCAAGGGTGTCTCGGAACAAATTTTATGATATAACATTTATAGTACGCGCGTGCTGATTGGTCGAGAAGCGTGTTTCTATAACTGTATAGAAACTCGGGAATTTTCCCGCCGAAATTGACAAGCGAAGTAATGTAATGAGAATTTGTAATTGAATCGAATTATAATATTTGTACAAAAGCTTTTTGTTCAGTTATATTATAAAAGAAATAGAAAACATTTCTCCTGTGTTTCTATACAATTATAGAAACACTTGTAGGAGTTTGGGAGAACTCGAAATAACGTGAAAAAGCTCGTCCGAAGGGCTCGTTTTCCCACGGATTATTTTGATTTCTCCCAAACTCGAACGCGAGTTCTAAAACTGTATAGAAACACGGAGAATGTTTTCTATATTTCTTGCTTGTTTACGAGTCGAGATTAGAAATCAAAAAATGTGTAAAATATCGTTGTTTGTTACCCTTTTGTGGACTGTTTGCACCAAGCTAGAAGCGTTTTCTCGACCTTAGACATATCATGAACGTAATCCCCGACAACCTCGCGTAAAACGTCTCTCAACTAAAAAACAAGAGATGAGAAATTGAGTTTGCGAAGGGTCTTGAAACTTCGAGACTTGAAGCGTTGAAAAGAAACACGAATTAAGTTAATATTTTCGCTGGTCATTAGCAGTAAATTAGCTTAAAAGTCTAGCCTTTAGTGGCGAATTTTAAAAAGTGTACACGGTCATATTTTGAGCCATTGAGAGTCGGGTATTTTCGAACCGAAAGAATTTCGCCTGGAGACAGTATTTGTTTAAAAAAAACTTGGAAACAAACAATTTGCAAATATTTTATACTTTTATATTTGACCGGGAAAAGTGTTAGCACATGTGGACTGAAAATAGTCGCGGATTTCGAGCCTTTTTCAAGGTTATATTTTCTTTACGGTTTTTTAAACATATTTCAACTCAAAGTTTGAATATTAATACAAATTTGATCGCCGGCAATGGCTGGCTGCCACGATGTATTTATGTTTCATTGTCTAGAAGAAAGATTAGTCTAGGATGTAAATTGCCTATTGTAACAGATAAATTGCAATTAAATTTGCCGAAATTCGTATCGTCAAACAACCCAAGAACAGAAAACGAAGACCCGAGGTAAACAATGGTGATATATCACTAAAGAAAACTGGGCGTTTTTGGTCGCAATTTTACAATGAATTGGTGAAGCTCTTTGGGAGAATTCCGTGGCTTGGTCGTCTGCGGTCTTTGGTAAAAACAAGGTTGTTCATTTGTATGGTAATTCGCTCACAGCAAGACGAAGGACCACATACAGAGAGTTTAAAAACGTTATACGACCCTGCCTTTATATCAATACTAGACAGCTACAATATATTTATACCTCAGAGATATCATAACCTAGCAATCTATTGCAAATTCTATTAAGTTAAACCGATATACAATACTTTTCAAAGCTTCAGACTTTCAGAAATACACCATTACGATACAGACAGCATTGTATATGCGAAATATTGTTAGACATGAACGAGTTTTAAAGCCTATTCGTCTTTTTCCTTGAAGACTGAAAGCTATATTGTAGAACTCGATAGATCAGAATATATAGAAAAGAATTAACTATCATAGCATAACCCATCTCGGAAATCTCAGCATAATGGAACATAATCTATATATCAATAACCCAGGTTAATCTTCTATTAACTAACCATATATATACTACCAAATACAAGACGATCATAGCGTCTTATACTAAAGTCCCAGTCTTATGGGATCACAATAAACTAACCCCTTTATACAGCGATTTTACTATAAGTGAAAAATCCTACCCCGAAATATTTGTTTACAAGGGATCTGTATTACACAACCATATACAACTAACGGTGATAATCATAGCAGTTATATTTCATCTAAAGAGCCAAGCCTACTTTAGAACTATGAGATCTCCGAATTCTTTGAAAATTTGAAATCGTTTATATTGCATATTTGCGTTCAAATGTATAAAATATCCTTCATAAACTTACAAATTGAAAAACCAACAACGCTATACTAGCGAGACGGCAATTGAAACTCAATACAAGGTGAACCTTTGACAAGTTTAGCGGTTGTAAACAATACGGCGTCGAAAATCGCATGCAATTGCTAACGATGGTTGCAAAATATCGCTATATATGAATATTGCTTTACCTCTTGTAATGATTTGGCGGATCCTAGAAGTTTCAATGTTGAATAAAGCAGCGATAAACGATAGCAGACGAAATTGACAAGTAGACTTAGTAATAATATGGATAGACTAATACGTTCAAAAGCTATGCTCAGTATGGGGGCTGAGTTTGTTCAACTATACACTTAATAAATAATTCGCAAGTTTCAAATGTCAATTAAAATTCCTGACGCGTGTTGCGAGCAGGTATTTACTATCGCAAAGGATTTTAGACTTCTGTGAGTTTGTCAGTTCTAAACTGTTCTTCCTAGAGGTCCAGTAAGGATCATCTCTTATTGATCCAGTGTTACTACAGGAGAAAACCTAAACTAAACTAAATTTATTTATACTGCATGGATAGTTCTATCAGTTCTAAACTGTTCTTCCTAGAGGTCCAGTAAGGATTATCTCTTATTGATCCAGTGTTACTACAGGAGGAAACCCAAACTAAACTAACTTTATTTATACTGGATAGCTCTATCAGTTCTAAACTGTTCTTCCTAGAGGTCCAGTAAGGATCATCTCTTATTGATCCAGTGTTACTACAGGAGGAAACTTAAACTAAACTAACTTTATTTATACTGGATAGCTCTATCAGTTCTAAACTGTTCTTCCTACAGGTCCAGTAAGGATCATCTCTTATTGATGCAGTGTTACTACAGGAGGAAATCTAAACTAAACTAACTTTTTTATACTGGATAGTTCTATCAGTTCTAAACTGTTCTTCCTAGAGGTCCAGTAAGGATCATCTCTTATTGATCCAGTGTTACTACAGGAAGAAACCTAAACTAAACTAACTTTATTTAAACTGGATAACTCTAACAGTTCCAGTAAGGATCATGATAAAAACGTGTTTCCTGCTTTTCAAAAAGGTTTCAAAATTTTAGGCTCTCGTCAAACTAAGATTACTTGCTATAGAAGTAATAGAACTCTTACAATACCATTTATAAGGTCAACAGGTCAAAATTTTCCGAATTTCATCTTAAAAAAATGATCATCAAAGTTGTTATGGTAAAAATTTAATGCGCCGCCGTTTAAAATTACTTGTTAAAAGACATATTTGCTTTAAAAGTAACTAGCCGTGTTGTCGTTATAGGACTGATGACAGGGATAGCGTTGAAATAACTTTTTAAAATACAGTTCAACCGATAGATCACCATGTTAGGACTGATTGAAACGTGACAGGGTGTTTGGTTATGTTTTGAAGGCATTTTTTCAAGATATGCCGCATTAATCGCACAAAAAAATTAGTCCAATTTGCACTGTAAACTAAAATTATAGTCTTGGTAAAGTGATGGAAATAATCCAGGAGTGAAAGAGATCGTCAACTCGGTTGTGAGATTTGGAAAAATGCGAACAGAATAGCCCTGCAATGTGTGCAGATTTTGCTTAATTTGAAAACTGGTTTCGGTACGATGAAAATTTGAGAATTTGCTCAAAATACGCGCCGTCATATTATAAGCGGGGTCTGAGGTAGGCTGGAAATGGGCGTTACCCTCTCTTCAAATTAAATACGCGGGAAATTTGGGTGGCCCCATTGGCACAAGAATGTTTTGGTCAAATTTTTCCCAGCTTCATTTTTACGAACACATATCACCAAAGAATGCTCTTTATATCAATTACTTCCTGCTATTTTTAAAATGCTAACGATATTGGTAGAAGGGCTTTTTGATAAGCAGTTCATTGCATGAAAACTATACGAAAATATTCAGGGCGAAACAACTGCAAATTCGACGTTTTTAAGCTGGTTCGTTTAAGTGTTTCACAACGTCACGTTTTGCACAACAAAAGATTAAAAAGGCTTTCATCTCAATGTGAATAATCTATCGACACTTGAGTAAGACTTCATATGACATATTCGTAGTTTTGACACGGAGAAAAACGACGTTAAATTTAGGAATCGAAATTAAAACGAAATGCATGGTTGTTCTTCAAAGCTGGATTCCGTATATGACATAATACGACCTATTTTCTTGTAAAACAGCCGTAAAGTCCCTCGAAATCGTCGTAAATCCCTTTCACGAAGCATTAACGCGAATTTAAAGCGATTATGACATTGAATTACGACAAAACTTGCCTTGTTGATAGTCAAATTACTAAATATTTCAAAGCTGAAAGGTTTTATACCTGATAATGAGAGATTATACTCCACAATAGACCAAGAGTTAACTTCGGATTTCCATTGACAATGTCATCATTTCGTATGTTGACTAACTTTACCTGGTAAATACAACAATATTTTTTTTACTCCCAGAGCAAAATAAAACACGGTTAATAAAATAAATGAAATTCGGTTTTCAATTTTAACTATATCCTGCCGTGGTGATTGTTTTGTTTTCCTCTGTTTTCATTTTGTAAATTGTTACAAATAGCACATTTCGCAAAAACTGAGAAATTTCAAATGTATTATGATGCATTTTGGGTTACCTTTTGCGTTTCCAAGAAATTCAGAACGTGTCCAACGTTGTTTAAATGATGAACTCTTAATCTTCCCTTTTCACGTTTCTGTGAAACAAGAATATCATCTGACATTAGACAGAGTAAAACACTAAAGTAGGTCACATCTGGGTGCATTGCAAGCTAATGGGTTAACAAGAGACACTGACAGATAGTTTTGTTAACTTATTAACTGACAGTACTCTTCCACTGATGAGTAAAATCATCTGACATTAGACAGAGTAAAATACTAAAGCAGGTCACATCTGGGTGCATTGCAAGCTAATGGGTTAACAAGAGACACTGACAGATAGTTTTGTTAACTTATTAACTGACAGTACTCTTCCACTGATGAGTAAAATCATCTGGCATTAGACAGAGTAAAATACTAAAGTAGGTCACATCAGGATTCAATGTGGGATAAAGAGGGTTAACAAGGGACACTAAAGGATAGATTTTGTTACATACAAACTTACCAATTTTTTGCCAGTAAGTATTTCCAAAAGCGTGATCAACTTTGTGCCATCTCGCAAATCCTTGAAAATATCCTTCACTTCGACATTTGCACGCGCCTGGAAACATTCAAAGACAACGATATTAAAAAAAAACATTCAAGAATATATTCAGACATAATGAATGGCAATGAAATTGTAAACCATGACTGAACCACAATAGCTAATGGGAAACAGGTCTTGCAACTTAATCAGTCAAATGCATTACAATTAATCAACTTCAAGGCCATGATAAACTAATATATACCTTGCCATATTGCATGTTCACCCATTTTGTGAAGGTCTTTTTCTGAATTCCCTCTTGTTCGCCTGGAAAAAAAGGTTGAATTAGCACAAACAAATAGAAAATACTAGGAGTTTTAAAGGCTTAATGGTAAGTCAAGAGCTATTAGCTGTGGTTTTAGGAGCATTTATAATAAAACTATCTGTCAGTGTCTCTTGTTAACCCATTAGCTTGCAATGCACCCAGATGTGACCTACTTTAGTATTTTACTCTGTCTAATGTCAGATGATTTTACTCATCAGTGGAAGAGTACTGTCAGTTAATAAGTTAACAAAACTATCTGTCAGTGTCTCTTGTTAACCCATTAGCTTGCTTTAATACCTCAATGATATCACAAAATACAACTTGCATATATTGCATTAAATTTTGTTAAATCCAGTTATCAGTGTTCTAATTGATGAATTTGTAATACAATTAGCTGTGACAACAGGTAATTATTTACAGTTGTGCAGGGGATAATTAACTTAATTAATTTGCTAGAGTTGTCTTGTAACCAGATGCACTTTATCCTAGCAATTTGATTTGGTAAAATGAATAGAAAACTTGCTCTTTCGTGGATGGGTATACTGACAATCAATTGCTTGGCAATTCTCCATCAGTTTAACTCTATATTCAAAGCTGCCTAGTGGTTTGTTCAATCTGATTTTATTTCTAGACATAATTTGCTGCCAAGGCAACTGTTGTAATGCTAAACAGAGTGATGTAAATTTCTAAGCAAGTGCAAATTGAATGATATTTGAGAAATAAACCTTGTTATCATAACTTAGAAGTTAACAGCCGAGGTGAAATCATGTTAGATCTTGATAAAATACTATATATGGGAGAATTACATGCTAATGGGGGTTAACAAGAGACACTGACAGATAGTTTTGCTAACTTATTAACTGACAGTATTCTTCCACTGATGAGTAAAATCATCTGACATTAGACAGAGTAGAATACTAAAGTAGGTCACATCTGGGTGCATTGCAAGCTAATGGGTTAACAAGAGACACTGACAGATAGTTTTGTTAACTTATTAACTGACAGTACTCTTCCACTGATGAGTAAAATCATCTGACATATTAGACAGAGTAAAATTCTCAGAATTAAGTTCAAAGACTTATGTAAACATAGTTACATTTATAAACTTAGTAATCGCCTAATCAGGACTTAAATATATTTCTGAAACTTATATATTTCATAAGAAAACAATAAGCATACTCTTCATACAAAAATTATGGACCATGTTCCCAGACAAAATAGGAATATAATATGCATAGAGTATACCACCAAAATAACAGATCATATGTACATATAAATAAAATATATATCCACTTAGATTTCAACCAAAGAAAATGCTAGCAAGTGGACATAATATAGAATACCTTTATAGGAGTCCATTGTGCCAAACGCAACTCAGAAATGTTGTTTGGTTACCCGAAATAACACAATTCAAATGTAAATCTCAAATTTCTCCCACAGTGAGAGAGTTACAACCAATTGATTTGAAAACAAAGTCCTTGTTGGTGTAAATATATCAGACACAACAGAAGTTATCCTTTCTCAAAAGTCGATTTCGAAAATCTCTACAAAGAACAGCCTCGGCCGAGATAGTTTGCCAGCTAGGAGATGGTAATCGATTGAATGGAGAAGTTTTGATTAAAAGAGTCTAATATCCATCCACAGGAGGTAATATTTTGTTACATATCAAATATTGGTTGGATCTAATTGTTATGAATGAATAGCTTAGGGCAATGTCTGTAATATGAACTAGGATATAAATGACCATCTTTTGTGATTATTTAAACTATCAAAACTCAATCTAATTCATTAAATATTGGAACAGGATGAAGACGATGTCGTATTTCTTTCATAGCTGAGATCTCAGGCAATATTTGAATGCTCTTTAACGATTAAAAGCTTAAGAAATTGAAACCATTCATTGAAATAAATCAATATTTGACACGCGAGGAAAAGCGACCGGAATTGTATAAATGAATGCTTGGCTCAAATGAATGCGTCTTGTGGTCTAAGATTGCGGTTTTTTATCGTGACAAAAAGCTTTGAAACTAATGCTTTTATCGGCGAGGAATGATTAAACGCCCAGTCCATTTGAACAAACAAATATGTAAGTCAACAATGTCAGTAGAAACGCATTAAAAACCTTACGCTGATGACAGGCAAAAGCAGAATGGTAAATCTATTATAAAAACATAGCTTGTCTTTTCAAAATACAGCGCTGGAATAGCCCAGAATGCTGAAATTACGAAGCAGAAAGGACACAAAGGATCGCACAGCGAGATAGATTGCTGCATATCAAGATTAAAACAGCACGAAACATTCCTTTCACAAAAACACACCCAGAAATACTTTCAACGCAACTTTTGGTTAACCAAATAGCCGTAAAAATTCGCTAAAACTTTACAGAAAGTAAAATTCACATCAGGTTTTTATGCAAAGGCTTTACTACGAAAGAGTTCGTGGTATATTTTGAAGTTTTTGACAACACGCTGAGCCGTTGTAAGTCAACACTTTGTGGCAAATGAGATTATTAAACACGCGAAATTAAACCGAAATTTAAATGTACAAAAGAAAGTTTGATTTGTAAACTGTCGACCTGAGAAGCGTTGGAGTATTACCTAGAATAATAATGCACAAAGGATTGGAAGAAAGGCTTTGTTTACATAGGTTAAAATAGCTCAAAACTACAGACAAAACATAGCCAGTGTTTGCGAGAATCCTTTCGACAATTGAACACAGTATGTTGGCAAGTTCACCTCGTGAAAAGGTCAAAATATCAACAAAACGATATAAAACGGAAATAAACTAGCGTGATGTACATCAAGACCGCCTTTTACTCTCTCATATTGAACTCAAGTAAACTAAATACTTCAAATATCGGCCCAAAATTATACATAAAAGAAGAGTGTATATTTTTAAAGCGCGTTCATTTGCAAGATCTATTTCGGGTCGCCTCAGAATTTGCGTGTAAAATCGATGAAAACTTACCCGATTTTGACTTGATTCGAAGCGTAACATCTGCACTCAGTTCGTCTTCGGTGAAATCAAACCCGTGGCTCATTTTTAAGCCGGATTTTCTACAAAAAATCGACGGATTTAAAGGGTAAAATTTGCAACATGCAAAGCAGCGTCCCTTTAAAAAATTTCCTGATAATCAAATTTATATTAAATTTACTCGATCAAAATACTATGAGCGAAGCTACGAGACACGATTCTGTGTGAAATGTAAATATTTTCCCCTCGAAGGATCCATTGTCCCGTGAAAAGGCCAATATCACAATACCTTTTATATTTTAAACTCGATTATAACAGGTCCAAAATATTATGTATAATTCTCCGGCAACTCGCTGGAATTTCCGTGAACAAATGGTCTACGCGAAGCGGCAAGGTATTTCAGGCAATATTCTTGTCGTCTGGCAACAGGAATGGAGTTAAATTCGTCGAAAAAAGCGTCAAAACTCGATGAATACTCGAGTTAAAGACGTTTTTAAGGGCTCCATTGCTCCTTTGACCACAAAAGATCAAGCGATTTGTGTACTTCCGATCTTCTTCCGAGGAACCTCCGTCGCCTTCCGATGATAAGCCTTCGAGAAATTTCCACCCCCTGATTATAGCACAAATGCTTATAAATCTGCGATAGATTTTATCCATTAAAGGGGGGTGCAAGGCAAAAATCCTAACTATACGCAGAATTTGAATAATTTCCGTCCTCAACCTTTTCCTCCCCCCGTGACAGTCACCGGAGCTCATCGAGCGTCCATACCTTGCTGTGCAAAATAGCAGGGGGGAGCTAATGTTTGTGAACTCTACCGTTAAAAAACTATTCAAAGGATGCATAAAAGAATGTTAAAAATGCAAAATTTCTCCAAGTTGAACATTTACAATTAAAATTTGGGCGAATTTTGCATTTTTTAAACGTTTTCTGTGCACGAAAAGTCATCAAGATTAGTATATTTATTAAAACATTCAAAATTTCCCTCTCAATTTTATGTAGTGTAGTCCTTTTCATTTTTCATGATAGTTACTAAGGATTTTAAAACATTTTAATAAAATTACACCCTGAAGATCATTTTACCAGATGTCGTGTCGAGAACTACCAAAACAGGCCAAGTCCCTATTGAATTTAAATTAGATCGCCAATAATCCAGCTTTGTCATTGGCTAATTTTTATGAACGCCTATTGGCCAGAAATGCTACCCTCGCTTGTCAACTCTCATGCAACTCTTGTTCTCGTTTGATCAATCAATGATAGTTGATGAAACTCTCATGTAAACTCTCGCTTGTCAACTCTCATGCAACTCTTGTTCTCGTTTGATCAAGCAATGATAGTTGATGAAACTCTCATGTAAACTCTCGCTTGTCAACTCTCATGCAACTCTTGTTCTCGTTTGATCAAGCAATGATAGTTGATGAAACTCTCATGTAAACTCTCGCTTGTCAACTCTCATGCAACTCTTGTTCTCGTTTGATCAAGCAATGATAGTTGATGAAACTCTCATGTAAACTCTCGCTTGTCAACTCTCATGCAACTCTTGTTCTCGTTTGATCAAGCAATGATAGTTGATGAAACTCTCATGTAAACTCTCGCTTGTCAACTCTCATGCAACTCTTGTTCTCGTTTGATCAAGCAATGATAGTTGATGAAACTCTCATGTAAACTCTCGCTTGTCAACTCTCATGCAACTCTTGTTCTCGTTTGATCAAGCAATGATAGTTGATGAAACTCTCATGTAAACTCTCGCTTGTCAACTCTCATGCAACTCTTGTTCTCGTTTGATCAAGCAATGATAGTTGATGAAACTCTCATGTAAACTCTCGCTTGTCAACTCTCATGCAACTCTTGTTCTCGTTTGATCAAGCAATGATAGTTGATGAAACTCTCATGTAAACTCTCGCTTGTCATCTCTCATGCAACTCTTGTTCTCGTTTGATCAAGCAATGATAGTTGATGAAACTCTCATGTAAACTCTCGCTTGTCAACTCTCATGTAACTCTTGTTCTCGTTTGATCAAGCAATGATAGTTGATGAAACTCTCATGTAAACTCTCGCTTGTTAACTCTCATGCAATTCTTGTTCTCGTTTGATCAAGCAATGATAGTTGATGAAACTCTCATGTAGATTCTCGCTTGTCAACTCTCATGCAACTCTTGTTCTCGTTTGATCAAGCAATGATAGTTGATGAAACTCTCTCATATCGTGAGCGCGTGATCACTAAACAGTGATTCCTTCCCACACTATTGTCGAATTGAACCACAAGGTGACACAATTTCCATTGATATTACCATCCTTCCTTCCTCAAAGACGCTGAAAAGAATATATCAATGAATAAAAGAAATAACCAAAACAATATCACAATACGTCTCCAGTTCTTGCATAAAATGCGATACGGGTTCATTCAAGAGTCATCATTACATCCCAAACGCTTCGGTCAGAACAGCGAAGCGCTTTTCCTAATCGGATAAGTAAATTATATTTGAAATATTAACACTATGGTTGTGGATCCGTGGTGGATAAGCGATTCCCGTCCAACCGACAGAGATATTCAAAAAATCTGTAACAAGGTATGGTTTATTAATGGTTTGAAAACGTTTTTCGGTTTAAGAGGATCCCAAAAGACGTGTAGGGAGTTTGTAACAATAGTGTCAATTGTCAAGTGTAAACAACCTTGAAGCCGAGCTATCAGTAAACTTTGACAATTCTTCAACAAGCTGAGAACTAGCTAGGAACATATCCTGATTGCCAAAGTGTTTACATTAAAAAATAGGTGAAATTTACTGTAGTACGTCACGATATAATTGAATACGTTTTTACATTCTTGTTCAAAATATTTACGTGATTTTTTTCGAGTTTTCTTTCAAAAATAGTCAACGAAAACATAAGCCTAAGTTTTGCGGTTTAAAGGTATTCAAAATATGTCGCGAAGTGTTTTTTTAGGGCCAATATATCCGTTACACTAAATGATTTCTTTCTTAAGCACTTCAAACAATATCAAGTGGGTTTTTTTAAAGTTTCTCGAGCACTTTGTAAGCCCTCAGGGGAAACTATTTGATTTCATGAGTGACGTACAGTCATCAGTCATCACTGAATTGAACCATAACATGCAGTTGAGCCAAATTTTAATATGATTATGAAAGTATTCATAGGTTTAAGAGGAGATATTTCTTCATGCAATAGCACTAAAATTTTCAGCATTAAAAATGTTTTGCAAACCTGAAAAGTATCGACAAAGTATGTTTACTGTATAATCTCAAAATATTCTGAAAATGAAAAGATTTCTCGGGATACGCCGAGAAGAAAATGACACTTGAATCGAAGCTTCTTTTGTATTCATTTCAGTTATAATGGCGTTGACATTATAACATTGTTGATAGCCGCCGCATTATATTTTGTAATAAATCCTTTGTTTGGTGTTTTGCATTCACTAAATACAGTTCAAAACTTAGTTCACAACATAATCTAAAGAATAAAGGTAAAATAAATTAATTTTGAGCGGTACGCCGAAAAGATTTTAGGTTTTGAGCGTTTTCCCGCAAAAATATGCGGCATAATAAAAAATTTCCTCTTAACCATTTACACTTAAATCGTAGCAGTTGAGACCAGAATATATGTTGTAAATATATGAGTATGTTTTATCCCTAAAGGTTAGGCCAGTTGCTGAATATACCGCTGGGAAATCACGAAAATGCAAAGTGCCTTTTCCAAGATTCGTAGTTGTAGAATATAAAACCCAACTTGAACATGGAACGAAATATTTTGTGAAGGTAAATAGAGCGAAATCTCCATAGTTGATAATGGAAAACGAAGTGTTATTCTGGCACAAGTTGCGTATGTTAATTTCACTTGTAGAGACTTGGAAATATTTAAGTTTTTAAATGAAGTTATTGCAAGCTTTAGCAAAGAGTTAGTTAAGCAATGTATACAGTATAAATACCCGTTTTCACTTGCGATTTTTTGTGCGATTTTCTTCTTTTGAGAGATGTGAACGAGTGAATTAGTTACTGGTGTTCAAATATGAGTTCTTAAACATCACAGCATTCGTAACTTATTACTCGTTCACATCTATCAAAAGACGAAAATCGCTTGCAAAAATCGTATTTTCGATGCATCGTAGTCATTTAAGCACCGCATTTTTATTAAGGTCGACGCTGGCGTGTGTTACGTACATCTTTGCATCCATCAGGATTACGAAGTCGGAGGTGGTCGGATAAAGCTCGAGAAAATGTTGGTTAATCTAGACGAGGATTATCCCTTAGAGTATTTTGAATAAACTAGCAGCTGTTTATCTAGAGAATATAGAATACCTACTTATTGTAAAGCAAATACCTATTGTGCTGTCATTTAAAAAAAGATATAAGTTCTGTACTTAATTTGCCAGGGGGAAACGTATTTTTTACTTATTAAGAGCAATCTGAACAATGATAAAAAAACAGTGTTTATTTTAAGATATCTTTGGGAATCGCAAAGAATAAAATTAGTTGCTAAACTTCACCGTTTACAGTGCATATATAGCACAAAACATTTCTTCGTTTAGTTCGTTAAAACACCGCGGAAATTGGCAAGACTTGTCACCGCAATTCTCAATACTTAGGCTTCAAACTTGGTGAGGAAAAAGATTATAATTCTTGGCCTGAAATATGGCCATATTTGCGTTTTTTAACTGATGCAGCCAGCGACTTTAATAGAATTATGTTTAAGACTGTTTAGCAGCTTCTTATAGCTTAGCAGCTCCAGAAATAATCTGAGTCACGCTGTGTTAGACCTCGAGAGACTCGATATTTCTCTCAATATACAAACCACACTAATATTTGGGCATAAACAACTGCTACACAATTCAATAAAGCTTAAATCTCACAGCACGAATGCGGGAAAGCCAGGTGATTTATCCAGACTTTTGATCGACAGTTCTCGGGCTGAAGGCACTAACGAGAACGCAGAGTTGACTGTCTGAATGTCTTTGTTGCTGTTTTACTGCTGTAAGGTTGATCAAAATGCTGATAATACAGTAAATGTTTGATGTTTATGAATGAACTCTGCTATAGTTTAATTCATTGCCTCCTATATCATGCAGAGACTGGGGAGAGTATTCCGGGGTTAATTTAAGGTAGTTTTTAGTCGATATAATTTTTTTTTCGAACGATATCCGTTCCATATATGTTTAATAACAGTGTTTTTTGTATGTAAAAGAAAAATTTGGAAAGAAAAAAAATTGCGGAAAGAAACTAAAAACACCCAAAAGAGATCATCCAGCCTATGCCACAATCTAACCTGGTTATACAACCGGCTGCAATATTCAGCATAGTTACAACTACGAAAGGTGCAAGGACAGTTGCTATAGGAAGAACTCCCCCCCCCATAACTCACATCTTAACGGCCGTCTAAGGGAGATGCACTACGGCCCCCAGACCATGATGTATGTGCACCTAACCGTTACGTCTCAGTGAGAAACAGAGTATGCATCGCCACAAGCCTAGCGCGTCATAGACGAATCAGCTACAGTGGCTAGCCCTAAGAGCGAAGATAAATTTAACGTATTTAAGCTTTTCCTGGTCTCGGGAGGCGGTCCCTAACAAGTATATGCATAGAAAACGACTTATAAGGCACACGCTTGGAAATGACAAGATTTAAACGCCTAAACGTTTTTTAAGTGTTTTTAGCGAGAAATTTTATTGTTTTGATATTCTTTTATTGTTTTGAAACAATCCTTGTTGGTTTTAACGTTAAAATAATCGTCATTCTCAAAAGGAAACTCAATATAAATGACTGAACGGCTTAGTTTGCTAAAATGTTTTGTTAATCTTGTGTTTAGTATAACCGCTTGATTCGCCGGTACAATTTGGGCCTAAATTGTATGTATTTATTTCACAAGTTTTCAAATCGAAGTAAAGACTAAAGCTACAGACATGCACTTAGCCTTTGGTGAGGAAAAAGATTTATATATACTTAACAAAGCTTGCTTGAAGCTTGCACTGTTGCACACGGCAAAAACAAATCGTCTGAATTAATAACTGCCGCTATTCTCAATACTTTGGCTTCAAACTTGGTGAGAAAAAAGCTTTATAAACACTCAACAAAATATGTCTTGCACAAAGGATTTGATGCTTGCACACGGCAAAAACGAATCGTCTGAATTGATAACCTTGTGTGTACTTTAAGCCTCAAAATGGCCGTTTCACAGCTGTCAGATGTGCTTGATAAGCTGTCAAAAGATTGCAGAATGCGTATTTAGAAGAAAAATTGAACTTTTTAAAGTTATTCAATAGTTTTCTCTTTGATAGCGATACAGAAATGCACAATTGTGAACCAGTGTTTATAGATTTTCGGCTTGAAACTTCATAAACACCAATTTCTACGGTGTTCTTCTTTATAGAAGAGTTTTTAACATCCTTACTATATCCATCTGAGATCCCTTTTCACTACAACTGCATGTCCCTTCCTATCCACCGTTATCCCAAATTATCGCTTAATTGCAACACGTTTCTCGTGTTATTGAATAGTTCCAAATTTCCAATGATTCTTCACATTCTGTATGTGAATTTCAGCTTAGCAGGTGAAATACTGTCGTCTCGTCTGCGATTAACATACGGCAATTCTTGGCCTGAGAGATGACCATATTTGCGTCTTTTAACTGATTCAGCCGACGATTTGAGTAGAATTATGTCTAAGATTCTTTAGCAGTTTCTTTGCTGGGCACGAATGAACTTGGACGGCGAAACATGAAATAATTCGACTCACGCTGATGTTAAACCTCGAGAGACTCGATATTTTCTCCCTATACACAAACCGCACTAATATTTGGGCATAAACAACCCCTACACAATTGAATAAAGCTTAAATCTCACAGCACGAAATGCTATTTTGTGCGTACGTCTATAAACAGGGGAGTCCTTTGTGGGAAAACGATTCGCACTTCGACAAAACGACTTGAATTTCACACTTTATGCATGAAATAATTCACATAAATGCAATGAACTTCAAAAGCAGTTAAAAGATACCAAAGACTGCTATCTTAATCCGCTAATATTTGCTTGTTTGGCTAACATATTACGTTTTTGTATAAGTTAATGTTTGTTTTATAATTCTTTGAACCGCTGTGAGATTTAATAAACTCCAACGGAGACACGGTGTATCAAAGATGCCGTTAATTACACAACGCTGTGCCTCGACTATAGAAAAACAATGCTATATCAATTCTATAGTTTGGCCCAAAAAACATTTTATTGTCTGCCTAAAAGCCATTATATCTCTGCCCACAACCACGGCTGTTGTATTCGTAAATTATTAAACGTTTCCGGCTAAGTCAAAACATAAGGTTTACCACAAAAACTTCATTTTGGTTAAGTTAATTTAGTTTAATTTCGCTAGCAGATTTTCGCACGCAAATGGTAGATTTCTTCGCTAAATGTGTTTGTAGACAAAATATTTGTTGTAAAGAGTTACAAGTTAAAACAGGTTGCCCGTTGCTCGCTTTGTTCGACGGAATTCAAGACAATTAATCATTTTGATGACAGTCAGTGCTATCAATAGATGATAATTTTCAGATAAAAGTTAATTGTGTTTCATACAAAATGCTATTATCGCCGCGAGACTTCATTCATTGTCTCAAGCGAGCCATCAGGTGACATCGGGTAAACTCTGTGAAGTTAAACGACGTTTTTTCGAAAGGTATGTGCATTTAAACTCGTTTTATTAAACCAAGATTACCTTTGAGTTAATACTTAGCCGTTTTTTACATCAAAATTCACTGTGTTTGCCGACTTTGCGTTCTAATAACATCCCTAAGTGTGTACAATGCCAATGGGTGTTAAAATTGAATGTTTTAACGTTGATTTTTTTCGACACCGGAGCTTTGGAAGTTTGCAATTGTTTAGCATCTGTCACGAATGCCTTAGGCTTCCTTTGTGAGTAAGAAATAATACCTACAGCAATTTTTTTTCTGTACAAATCAATGAAATTCTACCTTTACTGCAATTTGAAGTGCCGACAGATATATACGTGTGGTTTTAATCGACAAATCTTTGCGTATATAAATGAACATTTTAACTGATAACGGTATACCTTTCTATGATTTGGAATGACAGACGGCGGAGGTTCAAATATTACAGCGAATTTTAAGCTAGTCTTCTGTTGATAGGGATTTTGCGCTTTTTTAAAGGACTTTATCCTGTAAAATCATCTTTTTAAAGGCGTTCCCTGGCTTCATTAGGACAATTGAAGGTCGTTTGAGAAGAAAACTTTATAAGGCAATGACCACCTGGTATTCTGCAAATTAAAGGAATTTAATTTCCTCAAAAATCCAATTTATCATCGATGAAATTTGCGCACATTATCATCACTTAATAGAGCTGCAATTTTTGCTTAGATTTCCAGAAATCTTTCCTCGATATCTTCGGTGGCTATTTTGGGAACGTTTAGCGGGAAATTATCGGTAGAATTAGAAAAGAAATGGCTTGCTATTTTTTTACTTTGAAAGCTAGTGGCCGGTAATGTGAATTTTGAAATTAGTTTGCTAACTTCATAAATATATTATATGTGTAATAAATATATATGTATACAATCGCCCTGTGTACTAAAATTGTATAAATAACTTACAATGGTATATGTATGTCTAAGAAATATTTTCTTGACTAAAATGAACGATAACGATGGAAAATAGTTGGATAATTTTTATTTTTAACTGAAAAAAATACATTGTGAAAGGTGTTCAGAAATCTATAAATCACAGAATATATTATACCGAGATCGAATTTTATAAAACAGGGGTGAAATATAGACGAGCTTTGCTTTGAAAGAATAAAATGAGATATATATTTCAAATGCAAATGAGATACAGTATTTGAAGTACCTAAACATTTGCAGGCATTTTCTCGTTTTTCTGGGGTTAAGAAAGTGTGTTATGATGTGGTCCTTATATTGACGTGGTTTAATTAAACTTGGGAAACCGCTGAACTTGACACAATGTGGACCGCAGCAATAGACAGAGGCATACCACGCATGGGGCAGGATTTTTTAAGTGCATTATGCATATCAGATCTCTAAATCTACTCTGTTAATCAGATCAACGCTTTAAATATATGCCGTTATGGTAACAACAAAGCATACCAGGGAATATAATATATTTACCCCTGTAATTGATCTCATACAGCGACACTGTGTCTTGCTCTGAATATCGCTTGTCGAAGCAAAAATATTTTAAAAATCACAAAAGAGTTATTCACCGTATTGTGAAATTGCAAAGTTTTCATTGCGAACGGTAATAATTTGTTGAAAACGTGCCGTAATCTCAGCCTCAACGTATAAAATGCAACTATATCGATACAAATTGCATGTTGACAATTTCTACAATTATATAGGAATATTCTTTTTATAAGCACAA